GTGGTAAAGGGGAGGGCGGATAGGGCTTAGCGCGGCAGTGTGCAGAGTTCGATTCCCTGCAAGGTGGAATTGACTTTGTTGCAAGCGGGAGTTACCATATAGGTTAACAGCCTTGGCCTATCCATATACTCTCCACCCTGGCTCCTGGGAGACATATCCTGCGATTTACCTCTTCCACGATGGAGCATGGCAGGATCGATGGGGGCCCTTAAGGTTGGGGTTCAACCTTTTAGCATTAATCAAGTTAAACTGCACAAAGAAAGTAACGTTCATATCTGCAGAGAATCGCAGATGGCCGACCATTTTTGCAGATCCGAAACAGATACCAAGCTACAAGCCATATAAACTAAAAATTACATGATCTTATTCATTCACGTGTGAACACTGACCATTGCCTATTTTTTATTTACTAGAAAGAAATGGCTGTTTTTACCTTGTTGGTAAACTTTGTGAATTACCTACGCATTTACTATTTACTATTCTTTTGTACAATAAAAAGTTTACTTAAAAAAAGTAACGTCACTTTTGTAAGATCACAAATACAAAACTGAAAGTAGTAGGCATTATCAAATTATACAGTAGACAATTTTTTTTGCTCGTTATCATTTACGTTACTCAAAGAAGTCACATCTATATTTCACCATATTTCTAGAATCTCGGTTTTCGACACTTCATTCCTATTATTACGTGTTTTCATTTAGTCACGTTGACATTTTGTAATAGTAATATAAACCCGACTTCCTCGCTCAACTCAGCTTTTGAATTCAATGTATTTCGATCAAATTCGAGAAGCGAAATATGTGACACTTTTGCACATTGATGGGAGATCGACCAACACGAAATTTGTGTCTTCGACCACCGGTTTATCATTTCTGATGGGACACATTCCGTGAGGTAAGAATAATACCCTACTAACAATGGCACTCTTGTATTTACTAGCAAGACCATGTCTCATTTCACAAAGAAAATTAACCAGGCCCAAAGGCACTAAGCACGGAGGTCTGTTCATACAAATTGATTCGTCGGTATAAATCCAAAGCAAATCCTGAACCACCACGTGCCTACTATGTCTTACGTGTACCTTTCTGATTTGTCCATCGCCACCACGCACCTGAGAGATGGGGGTATAGTGGATGGAGGCGCTCCTCTCTCACCCTTATAAATGGCACCACGACCCCACAGTTTCTCTCTAAACATATCACTCTTCTTTGTTCTTCGTCTTCTGTGTTTTGTACAGAAAGAGCGACTCACTATTCTTTAATTCTATTCGTTTTTTCTTATTTCAAGAAATTAACCAAGAAATCAAAATCAATGGCAAGCAGAAAATTAACTGTGGAAGTGTGCGACGCCAAGAATCTGATGCCCAAAGACGGACAAGGCACGGCCAGTGCATATGTGATCCTGGATTTCGAAGGCCAACGGCGCCGTACGAAGACAATTTTCCGGGATCTCAACCCTCAATGGGGCGAGAAGCTCGAATTCTTGGTCCACGATGTAGAATCCATGGCGTCGGAAATGTTGGAGCTCAACGTGTACAATGATAAAAAGAGTGTGAAGAGAAGCACTTTTCTTGGAAAAGTGAAGATTGCTGGAAGCACTTTCGTAAAATCTGGTGAAGAAGTGCCTTTGATTTATTATCCGTTGGAGAAGAGAAGTGTTTTTTCGCAGATTAAGGGGGAGATTGGGCTTAAAGTATGGTACGTAGATGAGGAGCCGCCGCCTGCGGAGGAGGCTGTGGTGGAGAAGTCTGATGCCACTCCACCACCGGCTGAGGAGGAGAAAAAGGCAGCTGAGGCGGTCACGAAAGAGAAGGAAGAAGAGAAACAACCAACTTTAGAAGAGTCTAAAAAGGAAGGAAACCCACAGGAGACTCCAAAACCAGATACGGCGGCGGTTCTACCACCTCCTGCAGCGTCGGAAGTAGAAAATCTACCATTGTCTCAGCAGAAAAACACCAAGAAAGCAGAAAAGTCTATTGTTGCAGAAAACATGAAGAATATTGATATTGAATCAAAACTGTTCCAGAAAATCTTAAATTCCGACCGGCGAATGGCTTTTGATTTGGTGGATCAAATGCCATTCCTATATGTTCGTGTAGCCAAAGCGAAAATCTCAAATCCAGACGCAGATTCTTTAGTCTATGCTAAGCTCGTGATCGGTACACATAGCATCAAAACCAAATCACAAGCTGCTAATAAAGATTGGGATCAAGTTTTTGCATTTGATAAAGAAGGATTAAATTCAACCTCTCTTGAAGTCTCAGTTTGGATTGAAAAAAAGATCCCAGAAAATGAAAACAACAATGGAGTTTCAGACAGTTGTATGGGAACAGTGTCGTTCGATTTGCAGGAAGTGCCCAAAAGAGTGCCGCCGGACAGCCCATTGGCACCGCAGTGGTACAGTTTAGAGGCGGAGCAAAACCTGGAGGGAAATGATATCATGCTGTCAGTGTGGGTAGGGACTCAAGCTGACGAAGCTTTTCAGGAGGCTTGGCAGTCAGATTCCGGGGGGTTGATACCAGAAACCCGAGCCAAGGTGTACTTGTCTCCGAAGCTGTGGTATTTGAGACTAACGGTCATCCAAGCCCAGGATTTGCAGCTTGCTACAGGGTCGGGCACAAACGAGCCTAAGGTTCGGAATCCCGAGCTTTATGTGAAAGCCCAACTCGGCACGCAGCTATTCAAAACGAGCCGAATTAGTGTTGGCTCGTCTTCTATCTCATCTAATCCTACGTGGAATGAGGACCTTATATTCGTGGCAGCCGAGCCTTTTGAGCCGTTTATGATAATTACAGTGGAGGATGTGACAAATGGGCAAGCAATTGGGTGTACTAAGGTGCAGATGGCTACAATAGACAAGCGAACCGAGGACAAATCAGAGCCGAGATCAAGGTGGTTTAATTTAATTGGTGATGATCAGAAGACTAAACCCTATGGTGGGAGAATACACGTGCGGGTGTGTTTGGAAGGAGGGTATCACGTGCTAGATGAGGCAGCTCATGTGACCAGTGATGTTCGGGCTACTGCCAAGCAATTGTCCAAGCCAGCTATTGGTTTGCTTGAAGTGGGCATTAGAGGGGCTACTAATCTACTTCCGGTTAAGACGAAGGACGGTACACGTGGGACAACAGATGCATACGTTGTGGCTAAATATGGACCGAAGTGGGTTCGCACTCGAACAATTCTTGATCGGTTTAATCCGTGGTGGAATGAACAATACACATGGGATGTGTATGATCCGTGCACCGTATTGACTATAGGAGTGTTTGATAATGGAAGGTACAAGCATGATGAAGCAGGGTTGAAGAAGGATGTGAGGCTTGGGAAGTTACGCGTACGTCTCTCGACTCTTGACACCAATAGAGTGTATGTTGGTACGTATTCTCTCATGGTGTTGCTTCCTAGCGGGGCGAAGAAAATGGGCGAAATTGAGATAGCTTTGAGGTTTTCGTGCTCATCATGGATTAGTCTTATTCAAGCATATGCCAATCCACTGTTGCCTAGGTTGCATTATGTGAGACCATTTGGTGCTGCCCAACAAGACATCCTTAGGCACACTGCTATGAGAATTGTGACAGCAAGGTTAGCTCGATCCGAACCGGCTTTGGGTCAAGAAGTAGTCCAATTCATGTTGGACTCGGATACGCACATGTGGAGCATGAGACGGAGCAAGGCCAACTGGTTTCGGGTTGTGGGTTGCTTGTCAAAAGCAGCTACAATTGCACGTTGGCTCAATGGGATTCAAACATGGGTGCATCCTCCAACAACAATTTTGGTCCATATCTTGTTGGTAGCCGTAGTATTGTACCCACACCTAGTGGTGCCAACAATTTTCATGTATGCCTTCTTGATCATAGCATTGAGATTTCGTTATCGCCAACGTATTCAGATCACAGTGGACCCTAGAATGTCTCATGTTGATGCTATAAGTCCCGATGAGCTAGATGAAGAATTTGACGGATTTCCAACCACACAAGCAACAGACCAAGTGCGCATCCGCTATGATCGATTACGTGCTCTAGCAGGACGTGCCCAAACACTTTTGGGCGATGTTGCTGCTCAAGGTGAACGACTGGAGGCACTGTTCAATTGGAGAGATCCTAGAGCTACCGGCATATTTGTCGTATTTTGCTTATTTGCTTCCTTGTTATTTTATGTTGTACCCTTTAAGGTATTTGTTTTAGGGTCAGGTTTATACTACCTCCGTCACCCTAGATTCCGTGGCGACATGCCCTCTGTCCCGATGAACTTTTTCCGAAGGCTGCCGCCGCTGTCCGACCAAATTCTTTAAACTAGTTTTTAGTTTTTACTGTCATATTTACTTTCAGGCATGACAAAATGTTGAATTTTGACGGGCATTTAATTTTAGTGTGCAATTAATTGGCCCTTTGATTATGTAAAAGTGACAAATCTATGGATTCAACTGAACAATGAGCATTAAAGACGGGGAGACCAAAAAGTTAATACGAGTATTAAATTTTGAACCTTATTTGTAGCAAAAGTGACCGTTTGAAGTCCATTGCCCATGTCTCGAGAAGGTTGGTGAGATACTTAAAATATGGTTGTTTGAATAATTGACCGTTATACGCGTGGGGTCGTGAGGTTAGCATTTTCATAGTTTGATTAAAGGAGCCTAGTCATGTGACCACTTAAAGACAACCAGTTTAGCTTTATTTCTTTTGTGATGTTAGAACGTGTTTATTAAGGTAACCTTAACTCGTTTGACAGATTTTTTTGGAGAGGAATGAATTTTTTAAATTGCAAATTTTGAAAGAATGTGTAAGGAAAAATTTTGAATTTACATGAAGAATATTTTATTATGAGAATGTATAATAAAAAATAAGTATGAAAAAAAAAATGAGAAATAATAGTTGTCGAACATGGGCTTAAAATGGTTAAGGAAACGTACATGATAATAAAGAAACACACTCGTTCAACCAATTTCGAAAAAGAAAATAAACACTAACAATGAGCTAGCTAGAAAGTGTGACAAACAGGAAATACATGTCAAGATAAAATTCTTCAATAAAACAAAATTTAACAGGCACTTTATAGTACGTGATTCGATTCAATTCAAATTACAACAAAAATTGCAAGAATATTCAACCAGCATATCTTGTACAAACGTCATTTGATATGTATTTTTTAACATCCAGAAAGGCTATTTTAATTCAATGAGAAGCAAACATTTTTATCAAGCAAGAACAATGTGTTCTCGACACCCTCATCCCGAGCGCATATCATACCCAGCTCCCGGCAACCTGCACAGTGAAACACGAGGACTCAAGATTCTTGCCACCACATTACAAACTTTTACGAAATGCCCATATTTGTTTGATAAAACCGGTTATTGGAACTGTATGTAAGAATGCTGTAAGCAGCATTACAATCTTTAGAAGGAAAGCAAACCTTTTATCAAGCAAGACCAAGATGACCTCGACCCCCACATCCTGAACACATGGTATTTCCAGTTCCCCCGCAACCTGCATGATAAAACACAAGATGTCAAGATTCTTGCCAACACATTACAATCTTTTATAAGAATATGCATGACATACGTTATACGTCTTCTTTGATTGGTCTTTGTTGTTATTTTCTTATACAAAACAAGGCTAAGAAAGCAAACACAAAAGAGAGGTTTTGTATGTCGTTTTGTTAGTGTGTTGGTAATCCATCGTCGTTTTGAATTTTAGGTAAAAAGTTTATCTCCCCCTCAATGTTCTTATTCACTCCATTTTCTCTCTCCCTCAGTTTTCCTCAATTGGGTCACTTGTTGCTGCCACTAACCATTGCTACAAAATACTCCCAGACATACCTGTTAAATGTTCCGTAAGCCTAAAAATTCATAATGGAACCCAAGTCATTGCATTGAATGAGAATAATATAGGGGTGTTTGATAGACATTTTTATGTAAAAATGCATTTTAGAATAGTAAAATGTGTGGTTAAGAAATAAGGAAAATTTTTTGATTTACGTGTAATATTATTTTAATAAAGAATGTGTAGTTGAAAAGAAGAAAGAGAAAATGCATTTTGAAAAAAATGGCTATCAAACGGGGCCATAATATCAATAGTTTGCCGGCTAAATCTTTACATACAAACAAATGATAAGAATAGTTCAAAGAACAATACAGTTAAAAGACCGACTAATTAGAATAACTGATATGATCTTGAAGGATATATTTATCTCCATTTGTTCATTTCACCTTGAAAGAACAACATGACTTTAATTCTGGACTCTACAGATGGTCAAACTTGAGACCTGCATTTGTTAATTTTTTTATTTTTGATCGAGAATATTGAGTCTACCATAGATATATTGGAATACTCACTATATCCCTATGCATATGTTTCTCCCTAAGTGACGAGATTGTGATGAAACTGGCATTGGTAACATTGCCAAATTGCTGTGCTGTGCTAGTCCTATCAAATCTTCCATACAATGTTACGTAATAAATTAGAGCATGTTTCGTAGAGACTTTTCAAGCTTATAAGTGGGTCAAACATGATTTTTAAGCACATATTCTATAGGACCTATAACTTTTATCTACTTTTTAACTACGCAGTCCTTGAGACCTTACTCAAGCAAGCAATTGGTTTAAGCACATTTATGGCATGTTTGGTATGCTGGATACGTCAATACCGAACACGTTTAAAGAAAAAAAAAAAAGAAGATGTTAATGTAGTGTTTAGTGTCTTGTGCAGTGCTGTCGAGTGTTCCGTGTCAAATGTGACCTCAATTTACCAAATTCGTCAAACATATATGAAGTAGCAAACATTTCTTTTGTTAATATGAATTCCTTATAAGAATATCGAATACAATGCTAGCCAAAAACCTAAGTTCAAACTATAATGGAGGTGTCTGTACCCGTATCCCTTTTATCAATAAGAGGGAATCCAAAAAAATAAAAAACCGAAAAAGAAAACCAAAAATCGGATTAGAACATTACCTAGACACCGTACTTTGACAATGATTCCTTGACTCTCCAAGATAGAGTCTACATATAAGCCTGAACCTGAGCAGGTGCTGCAAAGAATAGCTCCTTTTGCTTGACAACTTGGGCAACTGGGCTTATCTCCAACATTTATCATGGCCATCGACAACCCAATAGGTTTTTCAATTATCTCCTCCGGAATAGGCTTATCATAACAAAAAAGTGATTCAAGGCTGCTTCGTCTATGAACATCCCCAACAGAACTTGGCATAGCCTGCAACATCATAGTATATCTTCTTAGCAATTTTAATTTGTTCCAAATTTTACTCTAGAATACAAGTAAAAAAGGAAAAAGTTTGCATAACTGTACAAGGAATTTTTATGCTGGCATAATTAACTTATAGTCAACTCGACAGCTATAATTATTATTATTAATTTATTTATTTTTATATTATTATTATTTTTTACATAAGCGTTCCTCAAGGAACATTTTTTTCTATTCAGCCGTAAGCATTTAATTTCCATTACTTGCATAATAATTTCATAAACTTGGACCTCATGGTCGAATGCATCGACTTCTAACAATAAAAATCAGAGTTATTACAACATATATCATAACTTGGACCTCATGGTCGAATGCATCGACTTCTAACAATAAAAATCAGAGTTATTACAACATATATCATAAGTTCTGATGGTAATGGAAAAATTTTTATTTTTTCTTTTGCAAGTGATCACAATGCCACGATGTTACATAGTAATTATTTTCCCATATATTAAATTGGACACTAATAATTTAGCATAGCAGCGTGTTAAAATCAAGAAAAACTCTGTAGACATTATTTTATGGTATCTGTCAGGGTATTTTTCCATAAACATGCCATTGTTTAGGGGATGCCTTGATTATCTCATCTAAAACACAAATAAAGCCATCTCAAGAGTCAGTTTACTCGATTCTTGATAGATGCCCAATTATGCGAACCAAAAAAAAGTTAATCAACGAGTACTACTCTCCAATTAAGTGCTTAATTCACCTCAAAGAAATCTTAAAGAAGTTATAATACGAGTCATAGGGCTATAATAGAGCATGATAAAATGAATTTGATGCAAAAACAACATTAAAACGTGTCAAAGTTTCAGTTTTGTTTGTAAGTATAATGTCAAATTATATAATCTACTACACAAGTCATTTGTATATGTGTAATCATTTGCTTCTTCAAATCACTTATTCAAAAAAGAAACTGTAAATGCCATTCTTCATGTATATTGTATGTGAATACGATCTATATGATGCTTCTGCTTGTACGAATAGAAGAAAGACGTCTTTGTTAAAGATTTTCAGACCAACCTATGGTTGTTTCTTTTATCATTTTCCTTTATTTGTACATTTAGCTACAAATCACTGGCTCAACCTGCTTCATTTAGCATATTCAACGACCTTAAAACGGAATTTAACCCACTAATTTTAAGGAAAATCCCAACACAAAATTTAGATGTCTATTTGAACGAATCCAAACCCTAAAGCCCATTAAAATTAACGAGAACAAGAATAATAAACAGAAATATATATGTACAATTTATTACTGACCCGCGGCGAAGAAAGCGAGCGAGAACCCGTGAGATTTGGGTGATTTCTGTAAATGGGCTCGGGACTAATCCATAAAACATTATGGGAATAACAAATCGATGGGGAAACTTTGGGTAATGAAGAAATTGAAGAAGAGGAGATTTTCAGAGCACAATTCATTTTTTCTTCTTACTTTTCAGAATGAACGATTACTGTTTAATTTCTGGAACAGAACGATTGATTTTGTTGCAATTATTAGTGTTCGATGATTTTAAGGTGTCTCTTCGTTATTAACGGAGATGGTGTGCTCCTCTTCAAGAATCAAATATTCTGTCAAAATAAATAAATAAATTCTGCCTCATATAAACAAAAAAATAATTTCTAATTTTATTAATAGCCCTGTTTGATAGTTATTATTTGGCAAAATAATATTTTGAATAGCTTTTTTAGAAGAATGTGATGTTCAAAAATCGAAAAAAATTTAAATTTACGTGCAAAATATTTTATTGTTTAAATGTATAATTAAATGAACATTAAAAAAAAAGTTTTCAAATAACGATGGTCAAACACGACAAACAACAAGCATTTTCAAGTATTAAAGTTTCAAATACAATTAAGCCCCTATTTGACAACCATTAAAACGATTTTTTATTCTTTGGAGAAAATGAATTTTAGAATAGTGATTGATTTGATGAATAATGTGTAGTTAAAAAGTAGAAAAAAATTAAATTTATATACAGAATATAATATTGTGAGAATGTGAGATTAAAAATAAATTTTAAGGCGGTCACATGGAACCTAATGTATATTTTTATATACATGGATTAAATCAATTACTTAACTTTGTTCATTTATCTCAGTTTATATAGTAAATTTATTCAATTGCGACTTTTGAAGATTTTTATGCACTTATGACTTCTATGAATTTTGTAAACATTTTATAGATTTGTTTCAGTTTCAGTTTGAATACGGACTTTTCATCAAGTAATTCTCTATAATATCACCCAAGATTCTATCTAAGTAACCATTTTTCATACAAAACTATCGTCAATAACATATGCATGTGCTTCAGATCAATGAGAAAGGGCAAAACTTTCAGTTAAGCCATCGCGCATTATTTCCAGATCCCAACCCAGAGAAGCAGAACACGAAGCAACATACAGGTAACCTTCGAGCGGTTCAAAGGATTTCACAGAAAGCTCCCGAGAAGGGTAAGCAGAAAAGAATTTCGAGTGGTTCAAAGGATTCTACAGAAGTTGAAAATGCTGAACCAACTTCGAGAAAAGATTTTAGCTCTTACAGATTTTTAGTGTCAATGCATTTTAGCTCTCCCGAAAAGTCTCCATTGAGCATAACCACTACACAGTTTTAACTAAAATTCGGAGATAATGCTATCAATTGTAAGTAAGCTAAGCTCAGGGAAAATCTGTTATTCAATCAAAAGAAAAGCGGTCTATAATTTATTCACGAGGGAATTACATCGAAAAATTCCGGATACTAAAAACCTGCAGATGAAGATAACTTCTCCAAGAATGACATAAAGTCAGGACCATATAAAGATGAAAAAATCTTGAGCGAGGCTTAAAACTGGAATTGCATCTCTGAGGCATATCCAAGAGCTTCTAAATGAGAAGCCATGGCCTTGTTCATAGGAGGTGGCCCACATCTTAGTATCTGTACAAAATGTAAATTTTGTGGAGTTCATCGTTTTTTGATACTAATGAACATGAAAAAGTTAAATGGAGATTGTATTAATGCTCATAACAAGCAAAGGATTGCAATGGCTAGAATTCCTAACCTGAATATCAGATGCCGGCGCAGGGCAGTGAGCTTGAATTGTTTCCTTGGATACGAACCCAACACCACCATTCCACACCTCAGGAGGCTACACAGAATTAGACAACAAACGAGGATCATCAAGGTAATGAAATTTGTTAAGTCTAATTACAAACAAAATTATGTCAATGCCTTGTAAGTTTCTTCAGAATGCATTAAGAATCTAAATCCTGAATTAATATAATAGTTTTACAAGGCACGAGATAAGTAAATGTGAGATATTATCAAACATCAATAGCAAATTTCTTTAAAGCAGGCACAAACTTATCTACATCATGAGGCTGTTTGCATTGATTATGCCAGAGAATATTTAGGTTCATCAATTCTATAGTAGCGATATTAAATGCACGACTAATAGGAAATAGAATATGAACCCTCTATCCTTTCATGTATGTCGAATTTATTAATTTTAATTCAGCATCTCCAAAGCCTTTCGCCACCCCGCACGCACAAACAAGTAATACTAAATCAAAAAATGCTATTCATTGATAGTGCTTACCCATAAGCAGTGATGTGTGACATTTAGATGACTTTAATTCATTTGCCGTCCTAGATGTAGGATTTAAGATGACAAATTAATTCATACCACATCACTGCTTAAAGGTAAACAGTGCTAAGGAATAATATTAGAGTATCTTCAAAAGACTCTCTAAATATATGATGCTCTCTATTGTATAGAGTCAATGTTTAAAAATATTATTTAAATTGATTGGCCATTGAAATAAATATTGTTGACACATAAAAATTCAGTCCAAATCAAACGGCCCAAGGAGTAAAGCCCAATTGGAGGATCCCCAAATCAGATAGCCCAAAGAACGAAGTCCAATCAAACAAATCAAGGTGAAGGCCCAAATAAGGGGACCGAAGAATGCTGTAACGCCATCGGCCAAGTTTGCAAGTCGCCCAGAATCTGAATGAATAGAGTGTCATACGGTCGCCCAGAGCTGTTATTCTATTATTCGAGTGGTTCAAAGGATTCTACAGAAGTTGAAAATGCTGAACCAACTTCGAGAAAAGATTTTAGCTCTTACAGATTTTTAGTGTCAATGCATTTTAGCTCTCCCGAAAAGTCTCCATTGAGCATAACCACTACACAGTTTTAACTAAAATTCGGAGATAATGCTATCAATTGTAAGTAAGCTAAGCTCAGGGAAAATCTGTTATTCAATCAAAAGAAAAGCGGTCTATAATTTATTCACGAGGGAATTACATCGAAAAATTCCGGATACTAAAAACCTGCAGATGAAGATAACTTCTCCAAGAATGACATAAAGTCAGGACCATATAAAGATGAAAAAATCTTGAGCGAGGCTTAAAACTGGAATTGCATCTCTGAGGCATATCCAAGAGCTTCTAAATGAGAAGCCATGGCCTTGTTCATAGGAGGTGGCCCACATCTTAGTATCTGTACAAAATGTAAATTTTGTGGAGTTCATCGTTTTTTGATACTAATGAACATGAAAAAGTTAAATGGAGATTGTATTAATGCTCATAACAAGCAAAGGATTGCAATGGCTAGAATTCCTAACCTGAATATCAGATGCCGGCGCAGGGCAGTGAGCTTGAATTGTTTCCTTGGATACGAACCCAACACCACCATTCCACACCTCAGGAGGCTACACAGAATTAGACAACAAACGAGGATCATCAAGGTAATGAAATTTGTTAAGTCTAATTACAAACAAAATTATGTCAATGCCTTGTAAGTTTCTTCAGAATGCATTAAGAATCTAAATCCTGAATTAATATAATAGTTTTACAAGGCACGAGATAAGTAAATGTGAGATATTATCAAACATCAATAGCAAATTTCTTTAAAGCAGGCACAAACTTATCTACATCATGAGGCTGTTTGCATTGATTATGCCAGAGAATATTTAGGTTCATCAATTCTATAGTAGCGATATTAAATGCACGACTAATAGGAAATAGAATATGAACCCTCTATCCTTTCATGTATGTCGAATTTATTAATTTTAATTCAGCATCTCCAAAGCCTTTCGCCACCCCGCACGCACAAACAAGTAATACTAAATCAAAAAATGCTATTCATTGATAGTGCTTACCCATAAGCAGTGATGTGTGACATTTAGATGACTTTAATTCATTTGCCGTCCTAGATGTAGGATTTAAGATGACAAATTAATTCATACCACATCACTGCTTAAAGGTAAACAGTGCTAAGGAATAATATTAGAGTATCTTCAAAAGACTCTCTAAATATATGATGCTCTCTATTGTATAGAGTCAATGTTTAAAAATATTATTTAAATTGATTGGCCATTGAAATAAATATTGTTGACACATAAAAATTCAGTCCAAATCAAACGGCCCAAGGAGTAAAGCCCAATTGGAGGATCCCCAAATCAGATAGCCCAAAGAACGAAGTCCAATCAAACAAATCAAGGTGAAGGCCCAAATAAGGGGACCGAAGAATGCTGTAACGCCATCGGCCAAGTTTGCAAGTCGCCCAGAATCTGAATGAATAGAGTGTCATACGGTCGCCCAGAGCTGTTATTCTATTATCGCCCAAACTTTCAAGTCGCCCAAGGTATCAACAGACATAACGCGTCGTGGTTATCAAGAAATGCAGTTATCAAGGCAGTTGTTAAAGCAGCCCTATCACGTTCCACGACTCAAGAAATTCAATCGAAACCGGTTGAACGATGAAAGGTAATGGCAGCAGTTAAAAGGCAGTTTTCATGATAAAATGGCCACTACGAAAAAAGTGGGTAGTTATAGGACGATCAAGCAATTTTTAGAGCAGTTAATCACAAAGAGATCGTCTATGAAATATAAAAGGGAGAAAGAACATAGAAGCAAAGGACCGAATCCAAAACTCTCGAACAGAGAATATGTAATTTTCATTTCCTTAGTTTTTAGACTTAAACACTTTTCTTTCTGTAACTCGTGTGCTTGCGCCCCTTGGAGGCACGTTGTTTTTCATTTCCAATTGTAAAGTTCATCGCCAATAAAAGAACACCCCTTTATGGGACTTTGTCTCAAGAGGTTTTCGTCCCTTACACAATCGTCTGATCCTTTTTAATTGTTAGCGACTTAACCCGCGCGAAACAAATATATTAAATAAAAGATGAGGAGAAATCAATAAATATTTCTTGAAAAAAGCAAAATGAAGAATAAAAATAGAGAGCATTGTTGGGGTGTAAAAAAAAATTCTCTCTAAATTGGAAGATGCTCTTTCAAAATATACAATCTCTTGAAAATGCTATTACTTCCGTCCAATGAATCCATAAAAGAACTAGATCGGAACAGAAAATGCATTGCCTATTAGTGCCTACGTATTTTACATATTATCATTCATTTTCGAGATTTTTTCTCTATCAACCTTTCACAGTTTTCTCCGTTGCTACTAAAAATCATCTGACAGTTTGGACCTGAGTTTTTTGTGCTTTAACTTTCATTCTACAACAAGAACAAATTAAGCCTTATTCCCAATAAGTTTGGGGTTAGGTTACATGAACTCTTTTGAAAGAAAAGCAGAACTTATCGTAGCCACAGAGTATTTGTTTCAGATTTCCTCATTTAAAAGAAAAAGAAGAATAAAATAATTCAAGTGAACGAAATATTGACAAGTAGGCTGACACAATTACCCTGGATGCTTAAATTTAGACCAAATAAATATATATGAAATAAACACCACATTAAGTTAAACAAATATAAAAAAGAACTAACCTGATTTAGTACATAGTAAATCTTAAATTGACCAGGGTAATTAGTAGCAAGGCTATCCAATTCTTCCTGCAATCACACATAAATACAACAGAAAAAAACATTACCTTTGAAATCCATCAAATTTCAACTAGTTTTCTTCGATGTCCAGCAGTACAAGTTTCAGTAAGGTAATCTGAATGCCCACTTCCCAGTGAAACTATAATATTCTGCCAGTTTTGAGTAAATACTCAGGTTCAAATTCTATTGAATCCCAGGCTAGTTTAACCTATTCCTTTATATCCCTCTCAAGTAATAGATTAATTCTGGGTCTAGTTTACTTACTACTTTCCATTAACAGTGAAATTTGCACAAGTACAGCCTCCAAAGGAAGACGTAGATGAAGAGAGATTAGAAATTACCTTTAGAAGAATGTCTTCAAATGTAACATTAGCATATATCAGATGCACCTTTGTTTTGTCAATTGGGTTTTCAAGAATAGCTCTAGCAACCTAATATAAACGAAAAGGACGTAATGAGATATGTTGATGTAAAAAAGCCTTTTAATTGAATCAATTCATCGCTTCACTCCTAAGAGTAAAGATGAATTCATCGAGAAATTGATGAAGAAGAAGTATTAAAGAGATTCTTTAATGTAGACCTGGAACATTGGCGTAATGCCAGAGCCTCCAGCAAGCATTCCAAATGCTCTCACTTGGCCGGGTTGATACTTAAAGCGACCCTAGTACAAAAAAATTACTGTATAAGAGCAGCTTTCAAGCAGTAGAAATATTATACCAGTCTGGCATAAAAGTAGCCAAACGTGTTCCAGTTCAAAGAGCAGAATACATGAAGCTATCAATTCAGGAGCGGATACACAATCCCCCACTCAATTGTAAACGACTGACAGGAAGCAAGAGCCGTGGAAGATAGAGCTTAACGAGCTTAGCATCTCTAGATCGCAGAACCTAATACGTAGAGATCTATTTTCCTTTTGAGTAATTTAAGCATGTTATCAGTGCAACACAGAATTAATTATCGTCATGGTTAAAGATTGAGCTCGATAAGCTTAACATCTCCTAATAGATTAATTTTACAACTTATGACTTTACAGAGGCTAATGCATGGAGATTAATTTTAGTAAGAGTAGTTTGATGTAAATACAAATACACCTCAGAATGGATCATAAATTGAAATTTCAAGATATAAGAGGTCTGGTGTCCAAGATTACACAAGATTTAGCTATTTTAAATATTTGTGCATAAGTATGAAACCAAAATAGGGGAAAAGAAGTGACAGAAAAGAACTCAACCTTGATTTTATCATATATTTCTTTTCATATTGTTGACATTGACATAGCTTTTGCATGAACCTAAATAACATTTTCTTTTTCTTTTTTCTTTCAGGGTTTGGATACCAGTGCAGAAAAAATGAAGCATGAAGCATCATAAGACAATTAAAACACAGAGAGAATATACCTTTGGTCCTTTTACAGCCAGATAGTCACCTACACGCATTTCTCGGAAATGATGAGACATTCTTCCTTGTGGATACATCTAAAAATATGCAAAATCCATATCATATAATCAACCAAGTAATACAAAAAGAGACGAAATACTTCACTAGCTCTTTACAAGGGGCAAAAAAGAAACTTCAAATACTTACCTTTATAACTAACTCAAAGTATCCAACATCAGAATCCAAGGTAGTTGGAGTATATGGTTTAGTGACCTCTTCACCTTGACCATCTTTACCCCTATACAATTACACGGTATTCACTAAAATCAGAACCTAATTTCCTTTTTACTCTAAAGCGTTAGAATAAATTACGTATTGAAAACGGAAAGTCTAATGAGCAAAAGGCCAAGTCATTGAGTTAACCTGCAACTAATGTGCTGTCCAATAGGAAGTCCCAACACAGATGTGGGTGTAGGAAGTTCAAATCTGAATTTTGCCACGTTATGGCTGAGCTGTATTTTCTTCACAAGCTTAAACTTCTTAAAATTCTCAGGATCCAGGCACACTGTCAAGTATACACATTCCATAAAACAAAGGTGTAGAATCTCCATATAACAATTGTAGCTATAAAGATTAAATCTTTATGCAAGTTAATACCGACCTGAATGGGAAACTATGCCCCCATTTGGTACCCATTTTTTTCAAAATGCATTTTTCTCTCTCTTTTTTTCAACCACACATTCTTTATTAAAATAATATTACACGTAAATAAAAAACTTTTCCTTATTTTTCAACCTCACACTTCCAATCAAGTTACTATTCTAAAATGCATTTTTATATAAAACTGGCTCTCAAACACCCCCTATTTATTAAAAATGCATATAAGCAAATAAACATCAACAACACGAAAAACCCATTAACCATATGGTAAGTGATGTATGAACATCAATTCTGCATATGCTCATATAAATTTTAATGGCATGCTTGATGTGCAACACTCCACATAATTGGAATATACAATATACAAGATTTTAGCTTCTTGTCCTTCTTTATTACTGTTCAGCGCTATCCAGCCTACTCACCAAACTTTGCCAAGAAAGATTTATCTTTTACACTATCCACATAAAAGGACTGCCCATATTCTTCTTATGGTAGGCAATATATGAACATCTATCCGAACATCAATTCCCATTAGTGAAAAACATAACGGACAAGATTTTAGCTTCTCCAGCGTTTACCATTCATGCATAAAAGATTGATTTTTATACTCAAAAAACGTAATCTAACCACATAAAAGGACTGCCCATACAAATCAAAAGACACATCAAGGACAAATAACATCCATTACTGCAACTATGTTCCTAAAAAATACATCCACGAACGTAAAGAAACATAATATATCCAATGGGCATTTCATATTTATACGTTAATAGATAGATCATAATAATTGACAGACCTTTGGATTTCTTGGAGGAAAAAATGAAGTATGCAGAAGCACCAACAGCAACAAGGCCAACAGCAACACCCACAAATAATCGACCTTCAGATGTTTGCAAAAAGTCCATATTGGAATACAAGAACTGATTTTTGAACAGAAAAAAAAAAAAAAAAACTCAATTTAGTAAGAATTCTAAGAATGCTCAATAGAGTTGCACTGAATCTTGGTAAAATGAAATTAATTTCTTTGTTCAAAATGATTGATGATAAAATTTTCAAATGCAAAATAATTGTTTATTTTTTTCTTAAGGATACCAAACCTGACTAAAGAAGAGAATTCCAAACGGTGTGGACAAATAAGTCGATGGACACTCCCAACCAACTCCTTTTGCAGAGGAAAGAAAATGAGGAAAAAATTGTAAAAATCTATAGTGTGGGCAACTGAAGTAGGTAAAGAGAGTAGTACTACTAGTAGGACATCAATTTTCTCACCTACCCCCCACTCCACTCGCCCCAGGTTACACGCTGCTGCCCCTGGTTTTTTATGTAATGGGAATCAATAATTCTCTTTGTTTATGTTGATTAAGAACTAATATTTTCGCAATTAGATCAACAATTCAAACGCCGTAAGATTTATGACAAATTCATCTGAGTTTTTTTTTTCAAGTTACTGTCATCTAAAAGGAAATTGACATATTTAAAATACGTTTGCGGACTAAAGATGAAACTTTTTACAGTTACCTGTAATTTATTTATTTTCCTTTGGTTAATCAATACCAATGTTTTAAATTTTGATTCGGCTATTTTCTATCCTACATATATAAAAAAGTGAAGCATGGACGGGACATGTGTCGTGAATATACATCCCCTTGTACCTCCCCCGCCCCCCTCCCACGCTATCAGCCATACCTCTTTCCTTCTCCATTTCTTTCTCCATTTTCCCAAGTTATCGCCATTCCTCTTTACTTCTCTTCCATTTCTCCCACACAATCACCCATCTAACCCAAGAGTACATGATTTCTGCACGGAGTTACCTTGATTCAACCCCTAAGAGCATCTCCAACCATTGCACCAAATTTTGGTGCAAAAAATGGTGTAATGAATAGTGTTGCACCAAATATGGTGCAACACTATTCATGTTGCACTATTTTGCACCAAATGGTGCAATGTCTTTTTTGCCCTTATTTTTCTTTTTTCAAAGATAATGGTTAAGGGCATTTGTGTCATTTTCGTTCTATAATAATAATGATAATAATAATAATTACTTAATTAATTACACTATAAATTATATTATTAAAGTTTATTATTTTTAATAATATAATTAATAATAATTAATGTAATTGTTAATTTAACGTAAAGTTAAATTCGTAAAGTTTACGTTTAAAATTTAATTTAATGTAATGTTTATATTATTAAAGTTTATTATTTTTGTAAATTTAACGTAATTGTTTATCATAAATTAATAATATAATCAATTATTTTTGTCAATTTAACATAATATATATGACATGTGATAATATAGTAATCAATATATTTGTTAATTTAATGAAGTTATGATTTAGTAATATATATAGTTATAAAATAAATAAATAAATAAATAATATTTTAAAATAAATTTATTGTCAAAAATCGAAAGAATGAATAAAATAATAAAGTACTGTTCATTTGGTGTAATGATTGGAGAAGAATTTTGGTTTGGTACAAGATTTAGTGCAAAATTTGGTGCAGGGTTGGAGATGGCCTAATTCATTGAGTTCTTCTCTCATTCTCTACCCTAATTGTAAACTTTCTTTGGATATTCATCATAATTTTAGCCGCCTCATTTGCCTACTTCAAGGTAATGATTTTACGAAATGGGTGTAATCTTGAACTCATACAACCCATTCTGCTCTTCAATTCTTAAGTCTGGTCATTTCTTTTTTCTGAGTTCATCTGTACCATTTAGCTGCTCATTTGTCTTTAATGGTGATTTTTCTTAAGTTTTCATTTGTTGCAACACCCGTGACCAAACTCCTTCACAATTAAACAACACAAGACAAGCAATGAAATCTCTCTAATTTGTATGTAAGTATGTTTTTTCGATTTTTGTTCTTTTGAATTAATCTTCATTTTTGTTAAGTTTTCATTTGATTACCGTGTTTATACAGACATAGTATTAATTTTGTTCGAATATAACTTCCAGATGATGGTGAATCAGTTGATGGGAATAGTGACGCTAGAGTAATTAGTCGAACAGGTCTATGCTCTTCTCTCACTTCATTTTAAATTTAAAAATCTCTTCTTCTTTTTTGTATATTTCATTTTTCATTTGTATTTTAGGATGGTAGAAATTTTTTTTAACGAATGAAAACCTAGTGGAGAATAAAAATATGTTTTTAACAAAAAGCAAAAAAAAAATAATAATAATAATAATAATAACATTTTTTGGGGAAAAAATCAGGAGCTAAAGCACGGAGCTTTTAGCTTCGCGCACTGCATGGAGCAACAATTTTTTTTTATTTTTTTAATTATATATACTCCATCAGAATTTATTTATTTTTTCACGCAACCATCCTTATAGTGCAGAAAAATCTACTTCTATCCTATTTTTCCATTTTCCTCTTCAAATCAAATTCATTTAACACAAAATTTTATTTTTTTTTACGATTTCATTTGGTTAAATAAAAATTATCTCTTGTTGGATTTAGTTGCTTAATTTGATGGGATACCTAGGATGAATTAATAGTTTTTTCTTTGGTATCATGTCCTGCAAATTTGTCATTTATAATTCTCTTAAAATATTTTTCTTGTGGATATAATAGACTAATGGTGGATGGGTGGGTTGTATTATATTACCAATCAGTTTGGCAAATTAACTCTTTATTTAAAGATTTATAGAATATAAGGGCGAATATAATTTAACATGGACATAGAAGGAAAATCGAGATAGGTTGATGGTCAAAGCTCTTTTTTTTTTAATATAGTTTTAACGTTGATGCAGTTGATATTGATTGTCAAAGCTCATATTTTGTGAAAATAATTTTGATTGTCTATATTACATTTAATTTTTTATTACTTTTGTGTAGGAAATTATAACAGCTTGAAATTTAAAGGTCCATTTTCTATGAAATTAGAATTAGTGGTTCTAAAAGACCCTGGTCAATTTTCTTAAAATTAACTGTGAGTGATCATTTAAGTATTGATGCATCAAAGTCCAAAGACTATTTTCTAGGTCACTATTCTTTTTATCTTATTTTGGCGTTGTTGTGTTGGTTAGCGTGGTTGTAAAAATTATTGTATTGTATATGATGGATTTTCCTTGTAATATAGGACATTTTTAAGGAGAGTGGGCTTCTTGGTGACGATTCCAAGAATATAGAGGAAATGATAGTTCTACAACTAAGATCGAAATTGAGGTAAATATTATGTTCTTCTGGCTAAAATGTACTTAATTTGTTTTTCCAATATCATATGGTTGTTTGCGTGTTCAAGAGGGGCAATAATTTCCAATTTTTTGCAATATGGACTTACTTTTTCTTTTTCTTTTTTCTTTATTATTATTTTTTTTATTTCAGGGAGGTAATCTTGAGATTTTTACCCAAATTGCAATGGAATTTTCATGAGCTAAGAGAAAGAATAAAAGTAATCCCGTCTCCTTCCAGTATTATTATGGTTTATCTGTTGTTTTATCAATGTATTCATTATTTTATTTTTTATGTTGTATATTCTTTTGGATCCTTTTTAAAATAAGTGGACTCGTTTTTCCCCTTTGAATACAATTAGCTCGTCTACATCGCGGCAATTCAACCTAAACAAGGTGGTGGTTGAAGAAATGAATCAACTAATGGAGCAGCGAAAGAGGCTTTCAATTTGCGACTTGATGAGTAAATTTGACAAGAATTTATTTGGTGCTGCAGAATTGTCCACAGCGGTGTTAATGATTTTTTATTTTTTATTTAAATTGTTATTAAAGTTCTAAAATAACATATATGCAAAAATCAGTTCCTTTGAGCTTCTAAATGTCGCTGTCTATATAATCGTTTAATCTAGATAGTTGCTAAATAGATAGGAACTCAGTTTCTGTTTCTTCTATCATTTCATTGCTTGTTGGATGAGAATTGATGACTCGATGAGTTGTTAGATTCTTTACTTTAGGCTAAACTGAGAGGTGCCTTTATTGGAAGGACATTTTCTTTTGAAGAAGCTTAGGAATGCATTAGAATATTTGAAATGACAACTGGGAACGTAACAAAGAAGATGTGGAAAATGATATTTCTATGATTAGTATCTTGTTACAAATCGAAGTTTTTAAAGTGATTTTGTTTAAATTCCTTAGTGCCTGCTATTCATTATATGGGCTATTTGAAAATCCTTTTTCTACATTGAATATGTTTTACATGTACCTATTGTCAATATTAACTGGAAAAACTCAAGAATACATTACATTTGAACTTATTTCATTCTTTCGAACACAGTGCAAATTGAAAATTAATTTAACACTTTCTTCTACCTTGTTAGATATCCCTTGGCTCTTTGCAACCTTTTCAAAGCAAAGATTCAACGTTACCGCCGTCGTGGCAGTCAATGAATTTTGATTCCAGAAATGACGATGCACCGATTAGGACATAGAATTCTTGAGATTCTAAAACGAACTCCTCTTCCATCACAGTATTGCCTATGGACTCCCCCCTTTCTTTGTTTTTCGCTTATAGATACACACACACACATGTGCAAATGATAATTACAAGTTTCTGAAATAGGTTGAAGCTCATATACACTTGTGGAATTTCTGTGTTTCTAATTTTTAATACAAAAATATAGAAGATTTTGAAGTTCCTCTAGATTATAATGTCATACTCTTCCAGCTTGTTCATTCGGAACCAACAGAATTGATAGCTTGGACTTCTACAATCTAGAAAAATATATCTTGGTCTTCAAAAAATATGGATGAGAAAGCACTAGACTTCCAATTGAGCAAGGCTGAAATATCTGACAATTCCATTTATGCTGCTAGCAAAGCACTCTTACCTATTTTAAGTTGGAATGTTTATTTTAGATTTTGACTTTGATATTTCATTGTTTCTAGGTTACTAGGTATAACAATATTTCTATTCATGCCCCTGTGCAAATTAGTAAAAGTTTGAGTTAATCTATCTTGTTCAACAAACAATATAGGTGAGACTACCACAATGTCACGAGAAATAGATGTTACAATTTTGTTCCAAGTTGATATATCAGAATTATATTTTGTATGCTAAGTATCACATCTACGAGGAATTATAAACTATTCGATTGGGAATATTGAAGTTTTCACATTGACTATTGTTCATCATAGGGATTAGTTTTAAATAATTTTATGCTTGGTTTGCACGATTTTTTCAAATCGTAAGGATTAATTTAGCTTGCAAATTATGGACTCCTTCCATCGTATATATTCATTCTTGTAATGACATTATTGATGGGTGGATTCAAAGAACAACGATATTTTTTTACAATTTGCTTGCAGGTGTTTCTTATGTCTACTTTATTCAATTTCAATTTATATAGTACTGTCATACATATCCGTTTAACAACCACCATACACTTATATTTAAAGTTTACCGATTAACATGCAATGCATGTTTTCCTCACTAGTACCTAGAAAAAAGAAAAAAGAGTCAAGGGTTGAAAAGTTGAACCGGGAACGAGTCACAGGTTTTTAAAAAAATAAAAAATATACATTTACAAAAATAAATAAATAAATATATATATATATATATATATATATATATATATACACACACACACATTTACAAAAACTAAGAAAATATATACATTTAATTTTATTTTTTTTAAATATACATTTAATTAGGTTGAATTGGTTAAACCGGGAAGAAGTCACTAATTTTCAAAAACGGCTGATTAAACGGGTTCTAGGGCGGGTTTTTAATTTAAAGTTTTTTAAGTCTAATCAGACCGATTTTGGTCTTAGTTCTCAAAATTTTTTATTGCACTAGTCGAATATGTCTGATTTTTAAATCACCGTCTAATACATAATTACCTTGTACGTACAATTTAGATGATTGCATGCATATACCTAAAAATCGTAAATTATTTATTTCTTTAATTAATCTAATACATAAAGACCTTGTACGTACAACTTAGATGATTTCATACGTATATAATACCTAAAATCTCAACTTAAAATTTGTTGAAGAATTTGATAATGAATAATTTAATTTATTTTTTTTTCAATTGTTTATAGGATTATTCCACTTGTACATCAAATGTTACATCAATGATTACATGATGCACAAGTGGCATTATGTAATTGATTATTGAAAATTAAACAATTTCCATCAACTAATTACACTTCAAGTAAAATATTAGAATAGATAAAATTAGAATAGGCAAAATTATCAGTAAAACTTTTATATTTATAACTTTATAAACTAAAAGAAGATGTTAAGTATGAACATTTGTTTTTTACACTTACAAGCAATGTTTAATATTAATTATATTAAATGATTATTATGTTATATAATAGAATCTTAAGTTATATATATATAACAAACTTAATACGTAAAAGTAATACAAGTTACAAACAAAATTATTAATATTGCATGATCAAAAATAAAACTATGTAATGAAATGCGTTAGTTATATTCAAGCAGTTTACTTTGAAAAAATTAACTCCAATTAATTGTAGGTATCACAACCCCTTTTTAGCTTATACACATAACTAAAAAGTATTGTGTGATGAATATGATACTCAAAAATAGAAATAAGAGAGATTATTTTAATTTTTCAAACGTTAAGGGTTGTCACTATATATGTGTGAAATCTCAGGGGTGTCTGTATAATTTGCTCTTATGTTTATAGTTTTAGTCTAATATTTTATATTTAATAATAGATGAATTATTTAAAGCGTTTACTCAGTCATATATAGTACGCCAACAAAAATAAAAAATAAAAAATGGTAGTTTGCAAGACTACGTTACAATATAAAATGTATTTTTCTTTTGAGATAATATATTAAATGGATAAAATAACCATGTTTTAATGGTCTTCATATACTTAAATTAGATGAATAATTAAAAAATATTCTTAACATTATGAGAATTCATTGAATAGGTGTGCAGCAGGCAACACAAGTAGTAAAATATTTGGAAAACTAAATAAACAAGTAAAATATTCATAGATAAAAAGGACTATTGTGATGAAAAACCTAAATAAACTTTTTTTTTTTATATTCAAAATAGATAAATTATCCTTTTTGCTATGATTAAAATAGTGTAGTTAGGATGAGAGAACAATTCGACAAGTTTGACCCTTTATTGTACCAACTCGTCCAAGTCACAACCTTATTTATTAAGTCGTAGATGATATATTAAACTTGTTTCATTTTTGAATATTTAAACTTTGAGATGACATGAAACGAAAGTCGAAAGTCTAATACTAGAATTCATTGAGTAGGTTTGTAGCATGCAATATCAATAGCCAACAAAACTTTTGAAGACTGTAAGAGTGTGTAAATGGCTGTTTTGACAACTATTTTTAGGATTTCTTTTCATAGAAAAGATAATTTAATTTTTATTTTATTTTTTTTTAAATCTGACTTTTTTAAAAAACGATAAAGTATCTAATTTACTTTAAATAAAATGATATTCAACTAAAGTAGGAAGACAGTTGGATGAACTAAGGGAGCTTGAACACAATATTCTCACTCTACGAAATCACTATCTATAAATAACCTCTTCAAATTACGTAGTTGAAATCAAAGTTTCACAAAAAGGGTGCCCGCCATGATACTACCGTGTTAAACACTTTATGGATGACACACACTTAAATTAACTGAGAGTGTTCAATGCACTTATAAACTAGTTAAGCAGGACTTTTATTAGCACATCAAACAATTTTCTGAAGACTGTTTTGATATTAAATTTATTTTACCGAGGATCTCATGTACCTTGTCACTATCATACTTGTAGTTGACCAAAAACTCTCGTTAATTAGAACATGAAGTCAAGAAATGGCAGTTCTAAATTATAATCTATTTTGAAAAAAAGGTTATTATACTCCCCACAAAGACTTTTAAGAACGACAATTGCATCTAATAGATCTAGCACAAAGACATTTAAGAACGACAATTATGACTTACGAGTTCAAGATAGAGACAACACCTTTCTACCCAAGATTTATGACGATATAATTTGAGTGAATGTAAAATCTCGTTCAAACAGCAATGTTGGATATGATGGTGAGACACCATCCATGATGATATAATTTGAGTGACTGTAAAATATCATTCAGACAGCAATGTCGAATATGATGGTGAGCTTCGTAGATATCTCTATGACATGAAGACTATAAAACAGATTTGACCGAAGATGGTTTGGTGAATCATGGCTGTGATGATCAACCAAACGACAATGGAAAAAGCTGAAATTCATAGACAGGAACAAGAAAAATTGCAAGAAAAATATAGTTCTTATTAACTATATTAAATAAATTCCAAGGATGGATTCTGCGTACGAAAATGAATATGATTGATGTTGTAAAAGATGCAACCTATCTCTGATACAACAGTAAAACTAGTTCAGAAATGTGTATAAACTAGCTCAGAAATGTGTATACATTGAATTTTGAGTTTACATTCCCTGATTGAATGCTTAATTTGCTTAGACGAGTATAATTTTCGAACATATATTTCCTCAAAATCGAAAAAGGAAAAATAAAAAACATAAAAATTCGTATTCGTTAATTATTGTTGTTTTCCTTGTTTGTAGGAGGATCAGATCTCACAATCGGAAGGTTTCTTCGATACTGCTGAGATGTTAACCTCCTCTCGAGTGGTGTCTTCCTCTTGCTCACAACGAATCTGTTTACTCCTTTCCGCATTGGCATTATTGACGGAAAGTCTTCATCGGGGATCTGGCTCAGCTCAGAAATATCCTTTATCTGAGCCACACGTCTGAACCATCTCTCCGCTTTGGCCTCTTCCGACATGTCCAAAGGGTCAGGTTCCTTAACGGCTGATCCCTCCAAGCTCTTACCTGTCCCACTTCGAACTTGATGGTTTTCAGATGGTTTGGGAGGACCTGCCGTGGGCCCCGGCTGGAAAAACTGAGGGGCATCCCCTTTCCCAGAATATTTATCCATCTGATTGTCACGTATGGTAGTCTGGGGAGCTGAGGAGTTCGGTTTAGGGTATTCACTGGGAGAAGCTACATAATCATGGGAAAGTTTGGTATAACCAGAACTGGCCAGTTGGTCGACTTTTCTCAATGCAGTATTTGTGTCTGACATACCATATCTTGGCTCATCCAACTTCTCAGAAAAGCTCTCGGCTGTTGTCGAACTGGAAGAAGATTCACCGCTAGATTTTGTGGATGAATCTGCGCCATCCAGCTGTTGTGTGTCCTTCCTAGAAAAGTAGCCAGGAGGGAATGGAACAAATGGGACAAAATTAGTATTATTTGCCTGATCCACTGCAACCTGTCTTTTGTATGCTGGTGAAGTCAAAGAACGATTTTTCTTCTTGCTAACAACAAATTGGTTTTCTCCCTTACGCATCGGCATAATCTCGGGAAAATCCTCGTCTGAAATTGCACTCGGTAGATCTTTGGAATCATGTAACTCGGCTATTTTCTTAAACCATCTTTCTGACTTTTCAGCTTGTTCTTTCTCTTTCCCCTGGTTAGCAGTCTCACTTGCTGAATTTTTTGAGAACTGAAAAATCTTCCCCATCTGCTGGGACTCACTGCCGACAGTCGAACTACTTTGATTACTGACCTCTGATGAGTCTGGTTCATAGCTTTCTGTCCCGACTTTTTCCCCATCCACCATCTTAGAATTTTGATCCTTCTTTGAAAACGTGTCTGGAGGTGATGGAACAAATGGAATGTACTTGGAATTTTTTTCCTGGGAATTTTGATCACTCGAAGATCCCAACTGAAGAGTTGAAGGAGAGATATCCGTTCTCTCACCTTGTTCAGAAATTATGCCTCTATCCTCTCTTCCAGAAACTCTAGACGAGCGACCAAGAATCTGGTCCAAACCACGGTTGACTGATGTATCAAGGGCCTTGTTTGTACCTTCAGGGTACCCCTTATCCATCGTCTGATTTTGAGAGCTAGCAAGCCTCTTCTCCAAGGGTGTGTTCCTAGTGCCAACAAGGGACAGATTTTCTCCATAGGAGACATCACTTATCTGAGAATTTTTACTAAACCACTGTCCTGCTCTCTCTTCATTCTCAGCCAACAGGCTATCTGTGTTGGTTTTGGATGTGAATTCCCAATTCCGTCCGGATCCCAATCTGGTGTCACCAGTGTTGGACAATGCCACACCAGGTCGTCTGCAGTCGCATCTTAAGCAAACTAAATTTCTCCCATAGTTAAAGAAGTCACATCTGGAATAAAGATGAAAGTAAAAATCTGCCATACCCCCAGAAAATAATAACACGAGACTTCGTTTTCATTAGCATAATCACTTAAGCATAAAGAAAATACAAGGTAATGCTTACTGAGGGCAGTCCCATTCCCCACCAGTCAGCTGTCTTGTTGGCCTAGGTCCTTCACATTCAAGACATTTAACATTTCTTGCAAAGTTCATAAAATTGCACCTGCATAGTATAGATAATAGTTAAATATATGAGGAAAAGTTCTATTGCCATAATAAGCATGCCTCTTTGCACAGGGAATTGGCACAAAGTGTTCTACGGGATAAATAAAAGAATGTGGACATCAAATACTTTCAACTACATTTGAGAAACTTGTCAATATTCGTTAAAAAAAAAAAAAAAAAAGGAAGGCATCAAGATTCTAGAAAAGCTCATTACTTTTCCTTTTAAACAACCTATCCCTAGGCATGTGACTTCTTCTTCTTCTACCCCATTTTTCTTTTGGTTGCATGGAAGTTGGTTGATAGCTTTAACTAGAAAACATTTATTTCAATTCCTTCTTAAATCAATTTCCATTACAATAACAATCAATTCACATAAGAGATTTGCACACAAATTCTTCCCCATCTTTAAACATGGTCATATCTATTTAGTGCCTGCAAAATTGCACAAGCAATGCTGCATAGATGAAAAGAAGCTCAAGAAATTGGTGAATGCAGCATGCAATATACATACTTTGGACATATCCAGTCACCTCTCTTCATTTCAATATTTTGTCTTAGGGGTCTTGAGGTTTGCCCATAGCCACCTGAGAAATGCTCTTCAGAAGCAGGCATGTTCATTTTTGGAGGTCCGCTGTTCAACTTACCCAACTCATGCAACAGATTCCGAACAGACAATTCCACAAGTTCCTTACTGTAGAGGCCATTTCTTTCGGACGAAAGAGATGGATTGCTTGCATAACTTAGAATATACTTCATAAGATCCACCATGCTTGCTTTATCAGATTCCAAGACCTAAAGTTCAGAAAAAAAAAAAAACAGCTGCAATTGATACAGATAGAGAACAAATTTAAGGTTTACCTACAACTCCATCATCATAACCAAAAGGGACAAAAGATAATCTATAACCACTATTACTGCAAAAGAACGCCAAGCAATGTCCTAGTAGCTAATTGGCAGGGGCTGGCGTGAAACACCAAAAAAATAAAAAATAATATAAAATAAAATAAATAAAAATAAAAAATTCCCATGTTAGACTGAGCTTCAAAAACAGAAAAAAGGGTAAAACTTACTTTTGTTCTAAGCATGTTTTGATATGTTACTTTAATTACTTTTAAGTAAAAAAAGTTAAATAAGTATTTATTATCTAAATTTCAAATAAGTAACTCTAAATTATTTATTTAACAAAAAATGATCTGAGAAATCCATTAAGAAGTCATTGTTTAACTCAACGAGACGCAAAAAGAAGACCTTTTCTTCTATGTAAAATTTGAAAGTCTAACGCTGCATGCTGTGTAACTTGAAGAATGCATATCAATCAAATGCAAAAATCTAAGTTTTAAAAGAGATCACATTGACTTACCATGACTCCATCGGTTCCCAAAAATTCTCTCATTCTCCTTGTAGTGTCAAGAGCACTCTTAAACAGAAATGGTGTCCCATTTGATACAACCACCTCAATCTCCCGTCTCGAAAGCAATCTGCATTTAATCAATGAATCATCCGAATTTAAGGGTCACACTCAAAAGAGATGTCAATCATCCTGCTAAAGAAAGGTGCAATCTTGAGTACACGGTACAGGCTACAGCACCATATCTACACTCTGATAATTGCTATCAAACAAAAAAGAATGATTAACAAGTGCTACTATCAATTTTCATAAAATGAAATTTGTGGATCGTAAATAAAGGTATGTTGGCTTTATAATCAGCCGCAACCTTCAAAGTATAAAGTACTACAGCACTGAAATATCACAACTTTGATTCATCCTTCATGACGTACTCGGGCAATTAACTAATCCCATTGATAAAGTTTAGTTCTCAAGTAAGATACAACACAGTATAAAGCAAAATATTCTGAGGAACAAAGTTCGAAGCATATTGAATTAGATAAAAATTTTATAACACTATTTATCCAGATATAGTATCTTCTTCTTGAGCCATTTTCCCAAAAATTAGACACAAATATGTACTTAAAAAAGGTATTTTATGCTACAAAATCACAGCTCGCCAAAGAAAGAGGTACACCAGAGAAATTTCAAATTCTCGTAACTTGTTCAAGATTTCAAATTCTGATTTTTTTATTTATTATTTTTTTTTTTTGGGAAATAAAAGAGAAGAAATCAAACCCAAGAAGATTGGGGCGTTCCCGAGCGAAAGCCAAGCAGGAGGCGGCAGTACGGACAAACTCCTCCGACAATTCCTCGTACGCAACAAAAGCATCGTCAAGAAGGATTTCATGGTTCATAGGTAAAGTAACTCCCTGCCCATTTGCGGTTGAGGGGAGAGAGATAGTATTGATAAAATGGGTCCACTCTGGCCATGGGTGGCTGTGGTGTTGAGAAGAGTTGTGTGGGTATGTGGTATTGTTAGCTGGTTGGGAGTGGAAGTGCTGTTGAGTGGAGTTGAGGGGAAGAATTTTTGGGGTTTGGCACTTGGATTTGGTAGAGGAGAGACTGAAGGGGCGGAGGGGAACGGTGGTTAGGCGGCGGCGGAGGAGGAAGGAGGAGGGACGGAGAGGATGGAAGAAAGAGGGAAAGGGCAGGGCGACAAGTGACACAAACTTGGAAGCGCCAACCATTACGGCGGAGGAGGGCGGTGTGTTACTGCTACTGGGATTAGTTGCAAGATTAGCAAGTGAAGGACTTCAGGCATATTTGGGTTAAGATTGGAAAAACCACTTCAATTTTTTTTTGTAAGTCACCAATCTTTCGAATTTATAGCAACTTTGTCCTATATATATTTTAGGAGCACGTATCATCTCCAACCTTTCATTTATTTACTCAGATAGTCCCCGGTATATTAGAAATGAGGAAGAAAAAAATTTCGTTGTTTCCAAAAAACTAAGGGGGTTTTATTCCCCGATATTTGTGCCTCCAACAAACGTGATAAGTGTTGATAAACCCTAGACCTTATAATAAAAGAGGGTGGTGGAATGGATGACGGTGTAGTGGTTGTGGGTGAAGCAGGATAGCATTCATTTTTCCTTTTTCTAACTTATTTAAGTTAGAGAACTTTAATGGAAACTTCAGACAAAAGTCGACGAAGGAACCATCTTTATCAATTAACGAAAGTTGAGGATGCTACATGCTATTATAGGGACAACACTGCAACAAACTAGAAAGGTTAAGGACCTACAGTGCTAGTGACCCGTTTGATTATAAATAAATAATTTTAATGTAGATTTAGAAAAATAACAAAACAAAAAAGAAATTTCTCGTGTTAAAAGTAACCCTTACCTCCATAATTAAGAGAGAGAGAGAATCCACCTACATATCAAATGGATTCTTACAGTAAAAGGAAATATTAAGAAGAAAAAATTTATATAAATATAATACGAGGTTCTAAAAGTACAATCAACTTCAAGATCACGTAATTTACAATGTATGCTACAAAAATACTATTTTGTCACAGGCTGACCAGACCCAAAAAGTATATATTTACAAGTTTTCATTTTCAAGTTCTTCCTCATCCCCTTTCAAGATTGTAAAAGATCATTTATTACAATAGAAATAAGAGTGTTTCCGAGATATGAAACACACAAATGGTATCTTTATCCACACAAACCAGCAGCCCAAGATCAGGCTAAAAAGTCGTACATTTGCTCAATGAATAAGAAAACTAATTACTCCACTTTGACTTGTCAAGATTCTGAACTTGTATGGGTTTCTACCAGAACGGTTATAAAGAATTACGACAGAGAATTTCTGAAGCTTTCGTAGATTTCGTTAACATAGGCTGCAGGAACACAAACTGCATCTCGCAATGAGCTGTGCTTCCCGCCATTGAAAAGATAAACTGTCGCTACATGGGTCCAAGTAGAGCCTCTGCATTTTCAGATAGATAGAAACATGTAAGAGCGATCCCAAAGCTAAATGCATAGCAATCATTGACACGAGAAATTATTAAGGAAGAGTAACTCAAGAAGATGTACATATCCATTATAATCACAACATGGAACGTGTAAAATAATCTATCGATGGCACGATTCAGAGCATGTTAGCTCAGCTTTTTCTTAAAAAAGGTAAAAGTTACTTTTTGTTTATAAACATTTTTGGACGTTGCTCTTTTTCTCACTTTTAAGCAAAAAAAATTGTTTATTTTGAGAGACGTAAGAGTGGCTGCTGAAATAAGCATCTTACTTATTTTCAACATTTACCAACAAGAAAATTATTTTTTACTTGTAACTACACTTTTTAATCGAACCCAAACTTGGCTTCAATCCTGCTATTTTAAAATTCTAATATCCATGTTTCTCCCGCATGTCATGGATCTCCATTTTCATCTCAATTAACACTGAGTAGAACCAAAAAGACTTGACATATTTAGGAGGAAGATGGGACAGTAATCATAAAAATGTAAACGTGTATTTCATCAGGCTAATAAACGGGACTATATTAATGTCAGAAGGAACATGTGATTAATCAAACAGGCCATAAAATGACTAGATACTCACTCGAGATTAATCAATAAGTAGACACTGATGAGAATGCATGCGATCGGTAGCAGCGGAACACATGGGCAAATGAAACCTAAACAGAGAACATTCAAAAAAATCCCAAAAGTTTTTCCTACATATTCTTAGAAATTTTTGTAATCGAAAGCATTTCTCACTAAATTGAAGAGCTGATGCATTATGCAAAGTTGACATTAACGGTCCTATGCAGGAAGTTACTACTCAAAATCCAACGGCTTAAGGGTAAAGAGTCAATCAAATATGTGATCATAGCGTGGACACTAACGCATGTTTGGCACACAATACTTGGTAGGAGTAAACGGTACAATGTACAAGATTTTAGCTTATTTCTCTTCCCCAATAGTCTACTACTATCAGCTCCAACTCATAAAACATAATAAGGGGTTGTTCACTACGCAGTAATAGATAGGAGCAGACATTGCAATAAACTAGATTTAACTTATTTTTGATTCGTTAATATAATTCACCTTACCAAACATGCCATAAATCTATCGAATCAGTGCTTGACAACATACTCATCAAAATCCTGGTTACTAGTACATCAAAAAAGAATACCTCTCGAATGCCCAAAGCTGTGCCTTGCATCATCTTGGTCGATCAAGGTGAGCAACACTAGACCATATAAAAGTAGAATGCCACCAGTTCCACAAAGTGTAAATCAAAGGGAGCTGATATATAATTGAAGAACCGAGATTTAGAACATGGTTTATATAAAAGATTCTAGGTTCAGAAATGTTAAGTAGAGAAAATAATGCAGACCAACTTACACTAGCATACATCACAAAATGGTATTCGCTCATAAGATAAACTTACAGTTGCACCACACAGCTGCTTTCTTAACAAGAGGATACCCAACAGGTGTTTCCTTGCCAACTAAAAGTGAAACTGAATCTATTGCACCCTGGAAAGACAGAGGAAGTGGAACCTCATCTGGCGGAACATATCTCAGTATCAGCACAGAAATTGCCACCATTGTAAAGGCAACTAGTGTACCAACACTGACCTGCATGAATTAACAAAGCTATCAGCAACTTGAGAAAGAACTTCACAGACGAATAAGATTCCAATTTCTAAATAATTTGTTTGATATTTAACTATTCTAACGGTTTGGTGGAGTAATATCACTTCAAACTGTATGATCACTGAGACATGCACATCTACAAGTGGATAAAGCATTCAAGTAATATGAAAAGCCAAGTGTTTTCTCCCTATTATCAACGGAAAACGCTACATTTGAATAATAAAAAAAATCAGTGAGGGAGAATGGAACACAAAAAATGGAAATGTGTAGCAACACTTTGGTACCAATAGTTCCATAAAAAATAGAACTAGCATCAGAAATATGTAGTATTTTATGTACATAGCTGTTATGAGCAATAAAAATGACATACCATGCCTGCCAACTGTTCAACATCCATGAAGAATGCCAACATTCCAGCAAGTATACCGGTAATCACAGTGCTCTTCACAGGGACTTGTGCGCGTTTATTGACATCAGAAAAAATGATGGCAGCAATTCATCTCAAGCTATTGCCATAAGTATTCGAGGCTGAGTTACATATAAGATAAAGAAAATTTTAATATGTGTTTCACACGTGTCAATCATAAAGGAAGACTCCACAAGGCGGAGACAGAAAAAGAAGAAGAAGACATTTTGATCTGATAAAAGTAACTTAATTTTCATACACTGGTATTAAGCCCGTCTGAAGCCACTAATTTTTTTTATTTTTTATTTTTTTTTGGATCAAGGTTTTCTACAGTAACAAATGCATTAAAAATTGTGTGCCTTCGAAAGGCGACTGATAGAACTAAGTTTGTCATGGGAAATTTACTTATTTGCCCATCAGTTGGTAAGGGAAAAATTGGAAAGATACATATCATAAAATTATTAATCAATTGTTTCTTGCTGACATGAATACATTTATGATGTAGATGTGGACCCCATTATAATGTTGCAAAAAATAAATTGGGCGAATTTAAGGGCATCAAACATACGCTAGGCATCAACTACTCTTTTTAACTTTTTAAGACTAATCTAGAAGTTAGATTTAGTGATTTTGCAGGCAGAAGTAAGACATGAATCAGAAATGCAGTTGACATCATTTTACTCACTAGGAGCATCAATCTGAATGTATGGAAAACCATTTATGGTCCTATCTAAAATAATTCATTACCTGTGGAAGGATAGAACCCATCAATGTCGAGCAAAGAGCAGTAGAAGCTCCAAGAGTTATTATGTACTTGAGTTGAAAAGTACATGCGCACAACTAGTACATAGACACATATCACAAAAAAATGATTCAAGTCAGAGGATATCTCAATAAAGTCAATTATGAAACTGGGCATTTACTTATGCAGCCCACTTCATTCCGTGGCTAGCAAATGCAGATGAGATGGGAGTGTCAGGATCCATCACATGATAGGGCACCAAACCAACGATTACGGCAGAGACCAGCATATACAACGTGCAACATATAGATAGTGCAATACCAATACCCATTGGCAAATCTCATTGAGGATTTTTTACCTGTCAGATGGGGATATTCAAGGTTCAAAATCTCATAACATGCTAAGTTAAGCTTAAAAAGTTATCTTGTAACCTAACGCAATATTATTTCAATAAATGGTCATGTTGCATTACACGTGCCTTTAAAATCTCTAAGTAGCCTTTCAGCCATGAAACTCCCCTCCCTAATATCCAAATCCACCACTCAACCCCATAACCATCACCCAACCACCACCTTCCCCTGACGATGCCAACAACGACAATAACACGTCATTCAGCAAACCCCAATCAACCAGCCTCACCCCACATATACAATCACACACACAGGCGGCGGCTCTAGATGGAAACCCTAGCACCGCACTCGAACTGGTGTGTTACACAGGAGATCTGATTATCTGGGACGGAGCAAGCGACGGAGAAAATGGTGGAAGGATAGGAAATACAGGCAGTGAGAGATCTGGGATTCAAACCCAGATACACTCCCGGCAAATGGGCATGACTCGCTAGCTCGGCATGGCAGAAGGCAGAAAGAGCAGCTGCTCTACCAGCTTTTAGAAAGGAAAAGGTAAGGGCTGGCCCTGAATGCTCCTTTGCAACTGTGCCAACAAGGATATAAACTCCAGCACCAATCGTTGAACCAAGCCCTACAAAATGCAGCAAAAGTACACAAAACCAGAGATTGAGATAGTCACAATACGTGCCAATCAACTTTTTAACCATGATTTGTTTATAGGACAAATTCAATACATAAAATGCATTCTACAGTTACTAGCAAACCTTTAAAACCCAATAGTCTATAAGTTTTGTTTTCCAATTTAAAACATAAATGAAATACAGGCATAAAGCTCAAATAAAAATAAGGAAAGAAGTGGATGAAGAATTCAAAAGGATCATGAAATTCTAATCAGGCAACTGAAGGCATATAATTAAACATTTTAGAAGGCTAGAGATTCTGAAAGCATCAAAGCAACAAAACTGTATAAATGCTAATATTGAACGAATAGGCTCATAAGGCTTAAAGTTTGACCTCCACATCTTGTTGTCTTACACCTTTTAGAATCTTGCTATCATTCACCATTATCAATTCCAACCCGATGTTGTCTCAGCTAAACACTGGTGTAGGTTATTGGTCATAAAAGTATATCGATATTTAAAAAAATAATAATAATAATAAAAATAAAAATAAAAATTATTATTAGTTAAACTTCTTGAGTAGTTTACATTTTTAATTTTTTTTTTTGGGTAAAAATAAAACAAAATTTTAAATGGTTCATTTTTTATCACAACAAAATGAATTTGCTCTTATGATTATTCATGTACAATATTTTTAGTATTATATAAAAGTCTTTTCTAAGTTGTTCCAACAAAAAATGAAGATTAATTATCTTTTGGTTAATACATGAATTCGCTAAAAATGAGATTTTAGTAGATTTTGAACAAAATCAATAAAAGTTGCGAGTTTCATAAAATATGCAATTGAAAATGAAAAAGAATGTAGAACGTTTAGGTTAATATGTGGCATTTATTGAAAAAGAATGTAGAACGTTTAGGTTCAAATCCTGAAAAGTCAAGAGAACTTCGTCAACTAAGTACCACAGATTCAGTCACAGTGCAGATTAAGTTCAGTTAAGATGACCAATTACAGACCATCCCTTACAAGCCAAAACAATCAAGATTAACAAGCAAAGCAGTCAGAAATATGATGAATTTCCTAGACAACAAAATACAAAAGGAAAAATCATTCATTCTACATTGAGGAAAAAGGGCGTTATCAGATATTAGAAGGCAGTTCAAACAGCACAAACTCCTCACAGACCAGATGAACAAGGGATAGAGAGAGGATCAGAATACAATACCTCCAATGCCTATAGCATCTAAAGTTGAATGTTTATACAATGAGTCTAGGCATCTCCCAAAGTCGCGTAAATTTACTCAGACTGGAAAAGTTCTTCTTGATACCTCTTAATTTCACTTTTTTAAGACATTGAAAGATACGTGTCAATAAGAAGGAAATATGCAACAAAATGTCAATAGACGATTTCATTGGACTTCAAATCAATAATATTCTCTTGCTTTTACCATGAAGAAATGCAAAATCAGTTGTTGAATGTACTTTATATTCACCTGCTAAAGTTTCAGCATCCTCCTACCCTTCAGACTTTTCCTCTGACATGAACACCCGAGAGGAGAACTTGTTTCCCAGCAGGTCACCATAACAATGCCAATTTACTTGATTAAGACACGAGCACATAAAATTCAGCGATTTTCATATTTTCAAAAGAATGTTATGATCAAGAAACATATATGAACAATATAAAGAAACACCAATTTCACAACGTGCATAAGATGGAACAGGTAGTACAGATTTTATAAATTAAAGAATGATATAAACACCAAGTGAAGAATTTGTTTATATAGATAAATAATAAATTATATCATCAAAATATCAAACTTCCTTCAAGAGCTTAATGTTGGTTAAGAAGTTAAGAAAATATTTTTGAGGTCTAATAAACCATATTTGTCAAAGGTTCCAGGTCAGTAAAACGGCAAGGCCTCCTCAGGAACAAGACACAGCAAGGCACACATTTCATCAATGCAAAGCACATATTATTTCTGATATAAAAATTCTTCATACGTGCATGATCTTTTTATTTAAACTAAAGTATTGAATGAATTTTAGCCATTTAATAACATCAATAGTTGCACATAAATGCACTGGAAGATAAAGCAATAAAACAAGGTAAAATAACATAACAAATGGGTAGGACAACCAAAGGCAATTCAATGGCGTCATATAATAATTTCAGAATTATATATTGTAGGTTTTAAAAAAAATGAAAAACGGAGAATTAAAGGAATCTATAATCTGAATGAAGAAGAAGAATGAAGTGTAAAGAGAAGAAAATAACACAATTGCAACAAAGGGATTCTGTCTTTTATTCATTAGCAATCCATTACATTTATAATGCAAAAATAAAACCGAAAAAGAGTGGATCATGGAGATCAAAGCCACTAATCCATGATCTAGAAAGTGCACGAACAACATCCTAAAGACTAGGACTAACTTATTGACTAGAAACAAACATCTGGAACAATAAATCAAAGATTAAACACGTGGACATATTTGCAGTCCTGAAGCATATAATTAACACTCCTCCTTACTTTAGGCACTGCAAATTCCAATCCTCTGCCTTAGTGACTCAAACTTGCCAACTGGTAGTGGTTTCGTAAGCAAATCTGCCAGCTGATCTTCAGATTTGCAGTAAACTAATTTTACTTCTCCAGTTTGCTGCACCTCCCTCAAGAAGTAAAGCTTGATGTTGAAGTCTTTCATTTTCCCATGGAATACTAGATTTTGAGAAATTGCAATTGTCGTTTGATTGTCAACAAAAATCTCAGTGCTATCATTTTGCTCCATATGCAGATGAGATAGTATTTTCTTCAGCCATAAAGCTTGGTTTGCTGCAATAAATTCCGCCTCTGTAGTGGATTGTGCTACAATCTCCTGCTTCTTTGAACACCATGAGAAAACTCCTAAACCTAGGCTGAATCAGTATCCTGAGGTACTTTTCACGTCATCAACAGACCAAGCCCAATCAGTCGTCGATAATAGCTTGAGGAATATGAATCTCTCCTCCCTAACATCCAAACATCACACCCTTCGCCAGCCACCGAACACCCCATCACCACCGGTCGCGACAGTCACCGGCGACGGCAACATCACGTCGACCAGCCAATCCCCACTCGTCGGCCTCACGAAATATAATAAACCACACAATCAGGCGGCGGCCCTAGGTGGAAACCCTAGCACTGCCGCCCTAACTGGAGATAACGCCGCCAATATCGGAGTACTGGCCGAAAAACAGGGGAAGCCGTTCCAGATTCATCAAAATCTGGCCAACTGCATGGCAAACTCGCCTGACCGGCGGCCTGCGCAGGAGATTCCGATGAGGGTGGAGGAGTTCAGGGACCCACACGCCGCCGGAACAGCGAGTGGCAGTCACGCGCCGGCGAAGCAGAATGACGGGCAGAATGTTCCCATTCCAGTAACGATGCTTGTTTTGCCGTCTAATATGCCGTTCAGGCACAATCAGGGATCGAAATTTGTAGATGAATTCGATGTGGACTTCAATCATCGTTTTCAAGTTGAGGCGAAGGAGTTTGCAATTTCTGTTACCAATCTTGGTGCTGTTAGATTGACCGAATGGGGCTCAAAGATATCAAATGCAATTAGCATGGGAAGATTCGGTGCACTTTGGATGGTGAATATGGTAGACAAGTTGAGGGTGACTAGTAAGCATGAAGATTTCGTTTCTAGGTTCAATGAGTCATCAAGAACCTTCTTGGCACAACGTTGTGCGAACCGCCATGATAGGTACTTGATGATAGCGCAGTATGGGGATAGGCGTCGGAAAGGAGTTGTGATGGTGCCGAAAGGCGCGAATGGAGAAGGATGGGCATCAATCTCTCGGGTGTTTCAAACTGTTGTTGATTCTTTTGTTGCTGGGGATAAGGCCAAACGTCGACTGGTGAATGAACGTAATCGACAAAGATTGACTTATGCAGACATAACAGCAAACTTACATGCCTCGAAGTATGCTGACCAGCGGATGTAACAGCAAAAGGAGATGACTGTCAATGTCAGTGTAAACGAAGGTCAGAATTGTTGTTTGAATAGGGCTGTAATCATGGCCCGTGTCCAAAAATTGAAAGGAGCGTTGGAGGAATTGATTAGGCTAGTGGAAAGTGGGTATGAAATGGATCCCAAGAAGTTGTTATGTTGCCACAAGTGTGGGGTGGGTATGGATGAGTATCCAGCTGTTGGAAAACAAATATCGGAAATGAATAAGAAGGAATCGGCACATAATCAAGTAAAGCAGGGAAGATTCGAAATCACTTGTGAGTTTATTGATCGGATTGAAACTGATGAGGGACAATCTACATATGACAAAGGTGATGTCTTAAAGGGGATGGTTATAGATGAGGTCGACGCGGGGACCGATGTAGACCGAGAGGTGGTACCTTTGTCTAAAGAAGGGGAGCCGAGTATGGTGAACTTGGAGACAGTAACGATGGGTGCAATGGACACAATCCCACACGATGATGGGCTTTTACTAGGTGACCAAAGGACGAGGCATGTACCGTCAGGGGTGATAGAGCACGACGCGACACCTTTAACACCAAGGGTTGCAAACACATATAATAGAAGGAATTCTAAGTCAATAAAGGTTAGTGACTTGGGGACGGAAAAAGCACTGGTGCTGTGGGTAGATGGAGCCAAGAAGGGAGAAATAGAAAGTGATGATATACAGATAGAGGAAACAGGGGAATTGATTGGATTTGAAGCTGGACACCCGCCTTCGAACTGGGTTCTACAGAAAATTCAGGATTTCAGTAAGTTAATGGGCGTGTCTTGTGATGGATACGACAACAGATTACTACAATTGTTTGAAGATTTGGAGGCCAATAGGGGACAGGAGATGAGTAAACAGGAAGATAAATTAAGAAGAAAGGGCGATCGTGAACTTAAGAGGCTTGAATGGTCAGTGAATTATGATGGCAAAAGTGGTGAGTCCAAGAATGGAGTACTGGGGAGGGATGCTGGACTGTTAAAATGATACCACGAATCATTAGCTGAAATGTAAGGGGACTTAATGAAGTGGGGAAAACAATGGGTGTTCGACATCTGCTAAGGGGCTGGGGAGCGGATCTTGTATGCTTACAAGAAACCAAGATGGAGGTCATCTCGAAAGCGGTGGTCAGTAGCTTATTGGGGGGCAGCATGTAGGGTATCAGTTTATGGGATCATCAGGGGTTTCTGGAGGCATATTAGTCATGTGGGACACCAGAGTGCTTGAGATGGAGGAGGTGAGTGTTGGATTGTTCTCAATTTCGATGTCGTTCAGAAACATTAGGGATGGATTTCAGTGGATGTTCATAGGTGTTTATGGGCCTAATACTGATGACAGTAGAAGGGGCTTGTGGGATGAAATGGCTGGAATGATGGCTTGGTGGAATCTGCTAACGTGAATAGGAGGTGACTTTAATGTGGTTCGATTTCCTAATGAGAGGTCGAACAGTGGGAGACTCACGGGGGTTATGGAGGAGTTTTCAGACTTTATAAGGGAGAATATGTTGGTGGATTTGCCTATGATTGGAGGAGATTTTACTTGGTCATCTAATCGGGATCAACCTGTTCTTTCTCGTATAGACAGATTCTTGATATGCGAAGAGTGGGAGGCTAAGTATTCAGATGTCATTCAGAGAAGATTGGGGAGGGTGTACTCTGATCATTTCCCCACTATGTTAACTGGGAACAGGACGGGTGGAGGACAAAGGCCTTTCAGGTTCGAGAAAATGTGGTTGAAAGTTGAAGGTTTTAGGGAGCAAGTACAGACTTGGTGGACATCTTACTATGTCAGGGGGTCTCCTAGTTTTGTGTTGGATCAGAAGTTGAAGTCTTTAAAAAGAGACTTAAAGAAATGGAATGAGGAGGTTGTGGGCAATGTGAACTGTCGTAAAATTCAGTGTCTTTCAGAGATTGATGAGTTGGATAGGAGGGAGGAGAGTCGAAAGTTGGCTGGGGAGGAGAAGGAGAAACGTAGAGCATTAAGGGAAGAATTGGAGAGGTTGGTGGAGATGGAGGAAATTGCATGGCGTCAGAAATCTAGGGTCAATTGGTTGAAAGAAGGAGATAAATGCACTAAGCTTTTTCACAGGATCGCTAATTCTAATAGGCGGAAAAACTCTATCACGGTGTTGGAAGTGGATGGGATAACTTATGAAGAACCACTCGAAATTGGATGCCAATTGGTGAATTTCTATCAGAATCTATATCAGGAACAGTTTGAGTGGAGGCCAGAGTTGGAAGGATTGAATTTTTCTACTATCACGGAGGATGATGCCGGGTGGTTAGAGCGACATTTTGAGGAGGATGAAATCAAGGAGGTAGTGTTTAGCATGAACGAAGATAAGACCCCTGGACCGGACGGTTTCTCGTTCTCATTTTACAAGGCTTGTTGGGAGGTGGTGCGATTGGAAATTTTGGATGTGTTTACATATTTTTTTGAACGTGGCAGGTTCCAAAAAAGTTCTAATGCTACATTTGTGGTGCTGATCCCTAAGAAACCGGGAGCGACCGACATTAAGGACTTTCGTCCTATTAGCCTAATTTGTGGGGTGTATAAGATTATTGCGAAAGTCTTGGCAAACAGATTAAAGGAGGTGCTCGGGATAGTAGTGTCCAAGTTTCAGAATGCTTTCGTAAAAGGTCGTCAGATTTTGGACTCTGTGCTTATAGCGAATGAATGCATTGATTCAAGATTGCGTTTGGGAATTCCCGGGATGCTATGTAAGCTCGATATTCAGAAGGCATATGATCATGTGAACTGAGGGTTCCTTCTGTATATACTTAGGAGGTGCGATTTCGGGGATAAGTGGTGTAAATGGATTCAGTTCTATATTTCTACTGTTTCGTTCTCAGTTATGGTCAACGGAACGCCGGAGGGTTATTTTCGGAGTAGTAGAGGATTGCGGCAAGGAGATCCACTATCCCCATTGCTTTTTGTTATTGTGATGGAGGCTTTCAGTAGGATGTTTGAAAGAGCTGTGGGAGAGGGTTTGGTAAGGGGCTTTAGGGTTGGCCAACAGCAGGTGTCTCATTTGCTATTTGCAGATGACACGTTGATCCTATGTGATGCGGATGATGAACAATTCAGGAACCTGCGTCGTTTGCTCCTATGTTTTGAAACGGTGTCTGAATTAAAAATCAATTTGGGGAAATCTGAGGTTATTCCAGTTGGGGAGGTCACTAACGTGGAGGAGTTGGCTAGCATATTGGGAGGTAGGACTGCACAATTGCCCATGTCATATTTAGGCCTCCCGCTAGGGGCACGGCTTAGAAGTACACATATCTGGAATGGTATTATGGAAAGAATGGAGAGGAGATTAGCAGGGTGAAAGCGTATGTATCTTTCTAAGGGAGGCCAATTTACTCTTATTAAATCCACTCTCTCAAATCTCCCCACTTACTTTTTGTCATTGTTTCCTATTCCGGTTGCAGTGGCAAATAGATTAGAGAGATTTCAAAGAGAATTCTTGTGGGCAGGGTTAGGGGAGGAAAATGCATTTGGTTAATTGGGGTACTATTTGTTTGCCTATGAGGATGGGAGGGCTTGGAGTGAGGAGCCTTGTTTTGTTTAATAAGGCTTTATTAGGCAAGTGGTTGTGGCAATTTGGAGTGGAGAGGGAGAGCTTTTGGAGAGAAATCATTGGGACAAAGTATGGTGTGATGGAGGGGGGTTGGTGTACGGTTGAGGGTCATGGCTCCTATGGGGTGTGTTTGTGGAGGTATATCCGACGAGGATGGAGTGATTTTAGGGACAAACTAAATTTTGTGGTGGGAAATGGCAATGATATTAGATTTTGGGATGATAGTTGGTGTGGCGATCAACCGTTAAAGGAGGAATTTCCTTCATTGTATCACATTGCGTTAGAGCCTGCTGCTATGGTGGATGATGTATTAAACACTCATAATGGGGGTTATAGTTGGAATATTACTTTTGGGAGGAGTTTACAGGATTGGGAATTGGAAGGTTATTCGTTGTTTTTGACCGCTCTGCATGAGATACAAATTCGGGTAGGAGAGGGTGATTGTAGCAGGTGGAGGTTGACTCGAGATGGTATTTTTTCAGTCCGTTCATACTTTTAATCCCTTTTTGGGATTTGTGGAAAGTTCATTACCTTGGAAGATGGTGTGGCAAAGCAAATTGCCTCCACGGGTAACATTTTTATTGTGGACAGTTATGAGGAGGCAGGTGTCAACGGTGGATAATCTTCGACGAAAAGGATTTTATGTAACCGAGTGGTGCTATATGTGCAAGAAGGACGGAGAGACGATTGATCATTTATTCATTCATTGTGATGGTGTACATTAGCTTTGGAACAGTATTCTGGCTTCTCAATCAATGGATTGGGTGCTTCCTAGGCGTATAGAAGACGTGGTGCTGGCATGGAGGAGAAAACTTTGCGATAAGGATAGCAAACTTCTCTGGAATCTCATTCCGGGATGCATTGTATGGTGCATATGGAGAGAACGGAACGATCGATGTTTCGAAGATCAAACAAAGACAACAGAGCAGATAAGAGAATTATTTTACTTGACTTTGTATACTTGGTTTAATGCAGTGGTTAAAAATCCTGTTGTAGGGTTGCCTAATTTCATGTTGTTCCTTTCATGCCTAAAGTGATTGTATACCTCCTGTGTACTTTCTTTTAAGGAATAAAATTCTCTGATTACCTAACAAAAAAAAAAAAAAAACAGACCAAGCCCAATCACTATCTGAAAATCCACACAACTTGAAGTTTTGACACTTCTCAAACTTGACGCCACAATCAACAGTACCTTTGATAAACCTTAATATTCTTTTTGCTGCTCTTAAATGCACTTCACTAGCACAATGCATAAATCGAGAAAGAGACTTACAACAAACAGAATGTCAGGTCTTGTTGCTGTAAGATACATTAAGCAACCAATCAAACTTCTATAATAACTTTCATCAACTTTATCAGCACCATCATCCTTGCTCAGCTTCTCTTTTTGACCCATTGGCGTGTTTGATGCTTTGCACTCCTCTATCTGAAATTTCTTTAATATTTCCTTTACATACTTCTTTTGACAGATGAACACTTCATTTTGGCTTTGCTTGACCTCCATCCCAAGAAAGTAAGTCATAAGTTCAGAATCTGTCATTTCAAAAACCTGCATCATTTCTTGTTTGAACTCCGCAACCATTTGCGCATTATTTCCTGTTACCAAAAGGTCATCAACATAAAAAGAGACTATGAGAACATAACTACCATTCTGTTTAACGTAAAGAGTGGCCTCAGATTAGCTTTTTGTGAGGCCTAAGCTTAGTAAATGTTCATCTATCCTGTTGTACCAGGCTTTTGGCGCTTGTTTTAGGCCATAAAGAGCCCTTTTGAGCAGATAGACCTTATCCTCTTCACCTTGCACCACAAATCCATCTGGCTGCTCCAAATATATTTCTTTTTGCAAAACACCATTTAAAAAAGCCAATTTGACATCTAGCTGGAACACTTTCCAGCCTTTTTGTGCTGCTAAGGTTAGCAACATTCTGATTGTGTCTAATCTAGCAATAGGAGCAAGAGTGTCAGAATAATCAACACTAAAAATTTGAGCATACCCCTTAATGACAAGCCTTGCTTTGTGTTTGTTGATGGAGTTGTCTGCATTGAGCTTTGTTTTGTACACCCACTTTACTCCAATGACTTTTCTACCTTCAGGTTTGTTGACTAATTCCCAAGTTCTATTTTTGTGAATCATTGACATCTCTTCTTCCATTGCTTTCTTCCACTTTAGATCTTTAAGAGCTTCTTCATGTCCAGCAGGTTCGCATAGTGCCACGTTACATCTGTGATAGATGTCTGAAAGTGGTCTTGTTCCTCTGATTGGAGGATCATCTTCCAATTCATTATGCCACTGCTTTGTTGTTTACTCTTCAAGAGAATCACCTTTAAATTCTTGTAAAAATCTGCCTATTCCCTATGAATTCTCCCAATCCCATTGCTCATCCTGGTTGAAGTGAACGTCTCTAGTGATCGTCATTTTTATGTTTGAGGGTGATACACTTTATAGGCTTTGGAAACTGAGCTATAACCCACAAAGATGCCTGGAATTGCTTTTTTGTCGAGTTTGTCCCGCTTGACCCCTGGAATTTGGGCAAAACACACACAACCAAACACTTTAAGAAAGCTCAATGAAGGTATATACCCAAACCAAGCCTCAAACGGAGTTTTATCTTTGATAGCTTTGCTTGGAAGCCTGTTTTGCAAAAATACTGCTGTGTTGGCTACCTCTGCCCAGAACCTTTTTGGCAACTCCTTCTCATGTAACATGCATCTGGCCATCTCCATGACGTATCTATTTCTCCTTTCATTAACTCCATTTTGTTCTGGAGTGTAAGGAGCAATAAGCTGATGTTCAATGCCAGCTTCGTCGCAGAACAAATTAAATTCTGCTGAGGTGTACTCCTTTCCGTTATTAGACCTTAGAACTTGAATTTTGCAGCCACTTTGGTTTTCCACCATTTTCTCGAACTTCCAAAACACTCCAACCACTTCTGACTTGAATTTTAAGAAAAAAATCCAGCACATTCTTGTAAAATCATAAATGAAAAGAATGTAATAATGGCTACCTTAAGTGATGGTGTTCTTCGAGGTCCTCCCACGTCTGCGTGGACAAGTTGTAGCTTTTGTGATGCTCTCCAGGATGATTTAGGAAATAGCTTCCTATCTTGTTTACCGAATTGACAAGCATGGCAATTTGGCAAGTGATCAACCAGAGTTGGTAAACCTCTTATCATGTCATTTTTCTTCATCTTTAGCATTCGTTGAAGATAACAATGCCTGAGCCTTTTGTGCCAGATTTCGATGATGCTGGCTTTGGTGGAACAAGCTCTGTACTCCTCCTCCGTTGGGTCAAATGAGAAGCTTTTACCTCTCATTTTAACACGTAAAATCTCCTGTCCAGCGGCATCTTGGATACGACAATACCAATTTTCAAAGGACACTTTAAATCCTCTTTCTATTAATTGGCCTACAATCAGTAGATTTTGATCGATATCAGGTACATAAAGAACATCAGAAATTGTTTTTGTACCTGAGCTGGTTGTAATTGCAATGGTTCCTCTTCCTTTTGCTGGAATATAGCCACCATTTTCTATCCTGACTTTAGTGATTCCAGTAGGCTTTAACTCCTTAAAAAGAGTTCTATCATAAGTCATGTGGTTTGTACAACCACTGTCGATCAGCCAACATTGTGAAGAGCTCATTGTTGAAAAACACGTTGCCACAAACATCTGATCTTCTTCATCTTGATCAGCTACCTCGGCATCTTCTTCTTACTTCTGAAATTTGCTTTTGCAAATCACAGCTTCATGTCCAAGCTGATTGCATTTGCTACACTTTGCATCAGGTCTCTTTCAACATTTGAATGGAAGATGTCCCATTTTGCCACAGTGTTTACAAGGGGGATAGTTTCCCTTTGAGCTTCCACCTTTGCTTTGAGTGTGCTTGCTTGAACAGCTCTCAGAAATTGAGACTTGATTCTTATGATTCTTCTTTTTGTTGTTCCTCTGGGCATCCTGGTGTTTGACTGTCAATGCTCCTTCAACAGTAGGATCTTGTCTCATAAGCCTCCGTTGCTCTTAAGCCTGCAAAGCATTTAAAAGCTCTACCAAGGTAATCATGGATAGATCTTTTGTGTTCTCCAAAGTGGTTATTGAAGCTTCATATCTTTCAGGCACGGTAACAAGAATTTTTTCTACAATTCTTGAATCATCAATTTTAGTGCCAAGAAGCCTTACCTTGTTGACAATGCTGAGCAATCTGTCTGAGTATTCTTTGATTGTCTCAGCCTTTTTCATCTTTTGCAGCTCAAATCCCCTTATTAGATTTAGCACTTGCATGCCTCGTATCCTTTCATCTCCTGCATATTCTTCCTTCGGATAATCCCAAATCTCTTTTGTTGTTTTGAGAGTCATGATTCTCTTGAAAATTGTTGTTGAAACAGCAACAAATAAAGTTGCTTTCGCCTTTGACTTTCTAGTTTTCTTTTCTTTGTGACTTTTGATCTGAGTTACGGAGGGATTGTTCGGTAGCGGAATGACTTCATAATCCTCTTCCACGGCTTCCCATAGATCTAAAGCCTCCAGATAAGCTTCCATTCTAAGTGCCCAAAGCTGGTAGTTTTCTCTATCGAAGACCGGGGGAGCAATTTGAGAGAAATTGGTTTCAGCTTCCATTGTTACACATAGATCCCTTAAGAAAATCAGCTCTGATACCAGAATGTGGGTTTTAAAGAAATGAAGAATAGAGAATTGAAGGAATCTATAACCTGGATGAAGAAGAAGAATGAAGTGTAAACAAAAGAAAATAACACAATTGCAACAAAGGGATTCTGTCTTTTATTCATAGCAATCCATTACATTTATAATGCAAAAATAAAATTGAAAAAGAGTGGATCACGGAGATCAAAGCCACTAATCCATGATCTAGAGAGTACACTAACAACATCCTAAAGACTAGGACTAACTTATTGACTAGAAACAAACATCTGGAACAATAAATCAAAGATTAAACACGTGGACATATTTGCAATTCTGAAGCATATAATTAACATATATATTTAACCAATTGATCCAATTTCAAAACCTTAACTACCAAGAGGAAGGGTAGGAAATTGATCCTATTTCAACGGTAAAAATCAACTACTATATTATTTTTCTTTCCCCAGAAACTACATTCGCAACTTCAATTGTACCTACATAATTAATAGACATCCACGATCTATTGTAGAGAGTTCAAGACATTGCTGAATCTTGGAGGATGATCTATGTGACAATTCCTGTATTTTCTTCGGTACATGTTAATTTTTCAAATGGTTGTCATCTTATGTTACCCTGATACCTCCATGAGAACGTGCACTCTTTCCTTTTAAAAATCACATATTGATCCTAACTTATTTCTTTACCAGACATTTTAAAGGAAAAAGAAAAACATGTAAAGTATCTCAACGTGTTTAGAGCATGTTAATTACCTGTTGAAAAATGATACCTCTTCTGTGGTGTGTCTATAATAACCACTGCTAATTATTAAATATCACATAAAGCACCCAATAATTCCTAAAAGATAATCGAAAATAAATGATCCAGTCAGCTTCACTGAACCAGCTTGCTAAGAAGGACCAAGCAAAATCCAAAGCTTATGATCGAAAAGTCTGACCACGTTTATTATTAAAAAAATAGTCTGCATAAAATGAATAAATGAGTAGATATATGTATTTTCTTGTAACGAATGACTAGATGTCTGGTAGAATCAGGTACAAAAACGATAGTATGTCCATGGTAAAAACCTACCGTGTTGGAGTTTCCATTCAATTTTGATCAGCATTTCCCAATGCCTCTGGCAAGCAGTGAATCAACAAGGTGTGTGCAACCTCATCTAACTTTAGTCCTCTCTGGAACATGTGATCCCACAAGTTAAAAGCTTCTTCTACTTTCCCTTCCTTGCAAAACCCGTTTGTCAATGTATTATAAGTAACTGAATCTGGATCAATTTCTCTGCCAATCATTTCACTCAGAAGCTCAGAAGCTTCTTTCATACGACCCAACTTGCAATAGCCATCAATAATGACTGTGTATGTTATCTTATTTGGCTGTACATTGCATGACAACATTTCCTGCAAGACACTGTTTACTTCATCCATCTGACCTAGCCTACAAAAACCACCAATAAGTGCAGTATAACAAAATACATCAGGTTGTAAGCCCTCATTTTTCATTTCATCCATAAGATGTTTTGACCTATCAACATGCCCCAAAATGCTCATTCCATGTATTAGAGAAGAATAGGTGAAACATGAAGGTGAAATGCCTTTGCTTCTCATTTCATCACGAAGTTTAAGGGCCTCTATCATGTTTCCATTCCTAGAGTACGCCTTAATTAGTATATTATATACAATAGAATTTGGTTCAATGTTGTGTCTGAGCAACATGTTGAAGAAACGTTTAGCCTCCTCAACTTTCTTAACATTGCAGAAACCATTTATCATGACTCCATACGAGTGAATGTTGGGAATAAGACCATTTAATTGGCATTCATGCCAAAGTGCAACAGCTTCATCCAGTTTACCTTTACTACACAGCCCATGCATTAGCAATGTGTACGTAACAATATCAGGAGAAATTCCTTGCTTAACCATATCTTCCTTGAGATTAAAGCCACTCTCCAATTTATCCTCTTTGCAGCATCCATAAATGAGTGCATTATATGTAACCACGTCCAATCCAACACCCCCGTTCAACATATTTTTTAGCAACATTTTAGCTTCCTGAATGTTGCCCACCTCACAGAGTCCACATATAAGTGCATTTGAGGTCACTGTATTGGCTGCAATCCCTAAATCTTGTAGCATATACCATAGCTTCAGAGCTTCTGAATGCTTATTATTCTTGCAAAGCCCATGGATTAATGTTGTTAGCAACCTATCATTTGGCCTCAAATTCCTAGATACCATTAACCTAGTGAAATGCAATGCGGAGTCTAATCTTGAATTCTTACACAGACCATGAATAACAGAACCAAATGTACCAGGGTTTATACATAAGCCTTTTGATACCATTTCAACTAAGAACTGTTCTGCTAGATCAATTTGATCATCCATGTAGAGACCATTAAGAAGTATATTAAAAGTAACTGAATTGGGACTAATGCCCTTGGACAACATATCATCCTTTAACTTCAACGCTGTTGTAACATTTCCAATCCTGCAATACCCATCAATCAACGTGTTAAAAACAACTTCATTTGGAACATGCCCCTTGACCAACATCTCTTTTAGAATAAAATTGGCTTCATCACATTTCTTGAGTTTCATCAGACCATTAATAAGCACACCATATGTTACAGGGCTTGGGTTCACACCATTATTTACCATTTTCTCCTTGAGCTGAAAAGCCTCTTCCAAATTCCCTTTTTTGCACAACCCATGCAGAAGGTTATTAAAAGTAACAACATTTGGAGCTATACCCACATCCTCCATTCTCTTAAACAACACAACTGCATCATTTACCCTCCCTCCTTTGCATAACGCATTTATCGCAGTACTAAACAAGTAGACATCTGGCAAAATGGCTGAAGAAATAATATAAAAGACCTCGTAGCTCTTCTCGAGCTCATCCGCCTTGACGAGCGAGCTAAGCAAAAAATTAGAAGTCTTGGAGGATGGAAACAACCCTCTGCTCGCTAAAAGACGAAACACATCCACTGCAACATCAAATCCCAAACACTTGAATTGACTAGCATAAACATGAACCAAAATATCAAAAGTCCTAATAGTGGCATTGAATTTATTCGATCCTGAATACAAATTTGCCAATAAAACTGTAATCTCTTTATGCATACTCCCAATAATATTATCGTTTAAAATCACAGGGAGCTTTTTGTCAATCAATCTTATCAAAAGCAACCGCGCTGCAGAATCAAGATTCTTACTCACTAACAGGTGAATCAAAAGGCAGTAAGACCTGAGTGTGAATTTAAAGCCAGCAGAAGCGCTAGCGAAGTAAAAGAACTTCAATGCAATTGTAGGGTCAATCAAATGATAAATTTCCAAGAAAATGGTACCAAAGTGATGAGGAGTTAATTGGGTTAGTAAATGTTTCCATTTAGATGTATTTAGATGTGGGCTTGAGAGAATGGAGGATACCCACTTCTTCTTGTGGAGCAATATCTCATCAAATGCTGCCTGTGTTGGCACTCCCCTGGGTTTTACTGGGTCGCCCTCGTCTTCCACCTTTATTTTCGAAGACTTCTGGTTTCTGGGCTCCGGGTTTTGCCGGGCATTGGAGGAAGAGATAGTAAATGGTCGTTTGAAGGGTTGTAACAACACTGCATTGGTGATAGCGGCGGCGTTAAGGTTTTTTAATCTCCTTATATCCATATTAATGAATATGAATTTAAACGGGTACATATATATACGCATTATTGGCGGAGCCAGCACCAGGTGAGGGGGGCCGGCCGCGCGTGCTGGCTCCTCCGGGAGTTTCAGTTGCCGCTGGGCGTCGGATCCAGAACCCAGAAGATTGGGGCAGTCCCGAGCGAAAGCCAAGCACGAGGCGGCGGTACGGACAAACTCCTCCGACAATTCCTCGTACGCAACAAAAGCATCGTCAAGAAGGATTTCATGGTTCATAGGTACAGTAACTCCCTGCCCATTTGCGGTGTAGGAGAGAGAGATAGTATTGATAAAATGGTTCCACTCTGGCCATGGGTGGCTGTGGTGTTGAGAAGAGTTGTGTGGGTATGTGGTATTGTTAGCTGGTTGGGAGTGGAAGTGCTGTTGTTGAGTGGAGTTGAGGGGAAGAATTTGTGGGGTTTGGGACTTGGATTTGATGGAGGAGAGACTGAGGGGAAGGGTGGTCAGGCGGCGGCAAAGGAGGAAGGAGGAGGGACGGAGAGGATGGAAGAGACAGGGAAATGGTAGGGCTAATAGTGTCACAAACCTGGAATCGCCGACCATTACGGAGGAGGAGGGCGGTGTGTTACTGCTACTAGGATTGGTTGCAAGATTAGCCAGTGAGGGACTTAAGGCATGTTTGCGTTAAGATCAGAAAAATTACTTCAAAATTTTTTTTTTCAAGTCCCCAATCTTTCGAATTTATAGCAACTTTGTCCTCTATATATTTTAGTAGTAGCGTAATTGGTACAAAACGTCCCTACCTTTCGAGTGTATTATGGAAAACGTTTATACTTTTTATTTTTTGACATTCTTGTCCCTATTTTCACATTTCTTTGCGTTGAACGTTCTTTTTACTTTTTTTTGTATAAAATGACCAATGTGCCCTCCAATTTAAATAAAAGAAAAAAGAAAAGAAAATTTGCAACTTTAGGCGAAACTTCTAAAAAAGTGCAAATACCCCCAAACCAAAAACTTTACCTTCTTCCCACACCTCACCTCCACGCCACCGTCACTTGTCGACCATTTTCAACCACCTTTCGGTCAGCTTAGCCGCAAGACCAACATACCAACTTGAAGCTCTTACTTCCCTCTTCACAACCCACCTAACCACTGGCCGGAAATCTAAATGAATCGGCCAAAAAATTGCGCCAAAACAGGCTGCTTACGCAACGTGAAACGGCCAAAAATGGAGGTCGGAAACTCCATTTTCAATGACACCCATGGCACACCCATCCTCCAAGGCGATTATGCTCTCGTTACGCTCCTATAGATGTCTTCATATCATCAAACAAAGCTGAAAATCAAAATTTACAGTCAGAAAATCGGAGTTCGCGTTCGGCCAGTGGTCCTTCAGTTCAATCTTGAAAATTGATCGTTTGGTTGATGAATTGATACAATTGATGGAGGACCCATAGTTGTGACAACATTAATTGACGATTACATGCTAGAATTGGTGGATTGAAGCCTTGTAGCATCATCAATCGAAAGGGGATCGGTCGAGTTTCTTTGTGTACGAACTATCAAGGCTGTTTCTACAATTTCTGGCCAAAATTGACAATGACCCATAGGTTCATTAGGTTCACCTTGAAGAGGCGGTGCTAGAAGGGGTGGTCCGCGATCGTCGATCGTGATGTCAGTGTTGAAAAATGTGTTTGAAGTTGCCGTTTTTCGCTGTTGAAGAAATCTCTTGGTTCTACAATTTCTGGTTAAAATTGATGATGATTAATAGGTTTATTAGGTTCTCCTTGAAGAGGCGGTGCTAGGAGGGGTGGTCCGCCATCGTTGGTCATCACGTCGACGTCGAAGTCGAAAAATGGAGTTGAATATGTCGATTTTGTTGTTGAAGTTGCATGGGCAACTTATTTTGGCACGATTTTCCCGCCAGTGGTTGGGTGGGTTGTGAAGAGGGAAATGAGGACTTCAAGTTGGTATGTTGGTCCGATGGCTAAGCTGATCGAAAGGTGGTTGAAAATGACCGACAAGTGGCGGTGGCGTGGGGGTGAGGTGTGGGAAAAAGGTGAAGTTATGGGGGGGTATTTGAACTTTTTTAGAAGTTTGGCCTATAGTTGCAATTTTTTCTTTTATTTAAATAGGAGAGCATATTGATTATTTTACACTAAAAACAGTGAAAATGACGTTCAACGCAAAGAAATATAGAAATTGGGGCAAAAATGCCAAAAAAATAAAAGGAAGGGACGTTTTCCATAATACACTCGAAAAATATGGACGTTATGTGCCAATTACCCTTTAGTATCACGTATTATCTCCAACCTTTCATTTATTTACCCAGACAATCCTCGGTATATTAGAAATCAGGAAGAAAAAAATTTTGTTGTTTCCAAAAATCTAAGGGGGTTTTCCCCTATTTTTGTGCCTCCAACATAAGCAATAACCATTGATAAACCCCTGACTTTATAATAGAAGAGGGTGGTGGAATGGATGATCGGGTAGCGGATGAGGCTGAAGCAAGGTAGCATTTTTTTTCCTTTTCCAATTTATTTGAGTTAGAGAACATTAATGGAAACTTTAGACTAAGGTTGACGAGAAACCAATTGCATCAATTAACGAAAGTTGAGGATACTACATGCTACTATAGAGACAACATTGCAACAAACTAGAAAGGTTAAGGACCTACAATGTAATTCAACCTATTAACCTAGTTTGATTATAATAGACAAAAGAAGTTTAAATAAATAATTTTGATGTTGATTTGGAAAAAATAAAAATAAAAAATTCTCATGTTCAGCCTTGCCTTCATTCATAATCAAGAGAGAGAAAATCCACACACATCAAATGGATTCTTACAGTAAAACAAAATATTAAGAAGAAAAACATTTATAATATGAGGTCCTAAAATTTCAATTAACTTCAAAATCACACATATAATTTACAATGTACGCTACAGAAGTACAATATTGTCACAGGCCGACCAAATGAAAAAATATATATTTACAAGTTTTCATTTTCACTTTCTTCCTCGTCCCCTTTCGAGATTGTAAAAGATCACATATTACAGTAGAATTAAGAGTGTTTCTGAGATATGAAACACACAAATGGTACTTTATCCACACAAACCAGCAGCCCAAGATCAGGATAAAAAGTCATACTTTGTCAGTTCGTTCATCGAATAAGAAAACTAATTACTACACTTTTGACTTGTGATGATTCTGAACTTGGATAGTTTTCTACCCGAAAGGTTATAAAGAATTACGACAGAGAATTTCTTGAGCTTTGGTAGATTTCGTCAACATGGGCTACAGGAACATAAACTGCATCTCGCAATGAGCTGTGCCTCAGGCCATAGAAAAGATAAACTATTGCTCCTATAGCTAACCATATTGATACACGGGTCCAAGTAGAGCCTCTGCATTTACGGATAGATAGAAACACGTAAGAGCGATCCCAAAGCTAAATACACAGCAATCATTGACACGAGAAATTATTGGAGAAGAGTAACTCAAGAAGATATACACTTCCATTATAGTCAAACATGGAACATGTGAAATAATCTACCGATGGCACAATTCAGAACATATTAGCTCAGCTTTTTCTTAAAAACGGGGTAAAAGTTACTTTTTGTTTCTAAACATATTTGGATGTTACTCTTTTTCTCACTTAAAAAAAAAAAAAAAAAAAAAAAAAAGGAAGTTTTTTGAGAGTGATGTAAGAGTGGCTGCTGAAATAAGCATCTTACTTATTTTCAACATTTACCAACAAGAAATTTATTTTTTACTTGTAAGTACACTTTTTAATCTTAGCCAAATTTGTCTTCAGTCCCGCTATTTTAAAATTCTAACATCCATGTTTCTCCAGCATGTCATGGATCCCCATTTTCATCTCACTTAACACTGAGTAGAAACAAAAAGACAGTGACATATTCAGGAGGAAGATGGGAACTGTAAAAATAAAAATGTAAATGCGTGGAAACGGGTATTTCTTCAGGCTTATAAACGGGACTATATTAATGTCAGAAAGAACATGTGATTAATCAAACAGGCGATAGAATGACTAGATACTCACCCGAGATTAATTAATAAGTAGACATTGATGAGAATGCAGGCGATCGGTAGCAGCGGAACACATGGGCAAATGAAACCTAAACAGAGAATAAGCTGATCATTCAAAGAAATCCCAACAATTTTTCCAACATATTCTTAGAAATTTTTATAATCGAAAGCGTTTCTCACTAAATTGAAGAGCCGATGCATTATGCAAAGCTGACATTAACGGTCCATGCAGGAAGTTACCACCCAAAATCCAACAGCTTAAGGGTCAAGAGTCAATCAAATGTGTGATCATGGCGAGGACACTAAAGCATGTTTGGCACACAATACTTGGTAGGACTGAATGGTACAATGTACAAGTTTTTAGCTTATTTCTCTTCCCCAATATTGTCTACTATTATCAGCTCCACCTCATAAAACATAACAAGGGCTTGTTCACCACGCAGTAATAGATAGGAGTAGACATTGCAATAAACTAGATCTAATTTCTTTTTGGATTGTTAATATAGTCCACCTTACCAAACATGCCATAAATTTATCAAATCAGTGCTTGACAACATACCATCAAAATCCCGATTACTAGTACATCAAGAAAGAATACCTCCCGAATGCCCAAAGTTGTGCCTTGCATCATCTTGGTCGATCCACGTGAGGAATGCTAGACCATATAAAAGGAGAATGCCACCAATTCCACAAAGTGTAAATCGAAGGGAGCTGATATATAGTTGAAGAACTGAGTTTTGGAACATGGTTCATATAAAAGATTCTAGGTTCAGAAATGTCAAGTAGAGAAAATAATGCAGACAACATATGCTAATGCTCTAAGGTCGTGTTTGCCTGTTTGGTACATCAAAATTAGACCATACTAGGAATTAAGTATGAAATAAGAGTAGACATATTATGTAGATAGTAGCAGGCTGGATAAATTTTTTTTAGCTTTTTTTTTTTCAAAAGATTGTTATTTACTATCTTCTTTAAGCTTACCAGATAACATAATACAGATTAAGGAGGTGGATTTAGGCCGGATAAGAAATTGAATCAAAAACTTATAAACACGCTCCACTTTAATCCAATCAAATATTATCTACCAAGGACTATCTGCTCAAATTTTATGCATAAATTCTTGTTTGGTCTAATCTGGAGTGCAAGTGTAACCTAAAGTCAACATTCCATGCTTCTATCGGCCTTTCTTATCAGATTAAAACATCAATTTTAAGACACCATATTCTCTTCCTCATAAAGCCAAGCCCAAAATCTATCACCATAAAAATAGATGACCCACCTATAAAGGCTCACGCTTGAAGCTGCTGAGGTGAGGACAAGCACTCCAATGCATGTAAGCAAGATTGTCCAGCCAGCAATCATCCGCCTATTGGCTTTATTCACTACGACTGCATGATAAGCAAAGAAAATAGTAGGTAAATATTGATAACTAGATAATCTAAGAAGAAAAGCTTATATGATAATGCTATGTTTGGCTTGGAAAGAAAATGGGAGAGAGGAGAGTGTTGATAATTTCCCTTCCCTAGCTTGGTTCCCAAATGGGAAAATAAAACAAAACAGGAGGAGGAATTTTTTTCCCCCATTATTTCAACATACACTAGTGTACATCATAAAATGGTATTCTCTCATAAGATAAACTTACAGTTGCACCGCACAGCTGCTTTCTCAACAATAGGATACCCAACAGGTGTTTCCTTGCTAACTAAAAGTGGAATGTTGTCACTTGAGGTTATAGCATTGGCTTTTGAGTTTTCCACATCGACTTCTTTAGAACTACTGCTACTATACCGCGTCAAAACTGAATCTATTGCACCCTGGAAAGACGATGGAAGTGGAACCTCATCTGGTGGAACATATCTCAGTATCAGCACAGAAATTGCCACCGTTGTAAAGGCAACTAGTGTACCAACACTGACCTGCATGTATTAACAAAGCTATCAGAACTTGAGAAAGAACTTCACAGACGAATAAGATTCCAATTTCTACACAATTTGTTTGATATTTAACTAGTCTAACGGTTTGGTGGAGTAATATCAATTCAACCTATATCATCACTGAGACATGCACATCTATAAGTAGATAAAGGATTCAAGTAATATGAAATGTGAAGTGTTTTCTCCCCATTATCAACGGAAAATGCTCCATTTAAATAATAAAAAAAATCGGTGAGGGAGAATGGAACACAAAAAAGGAAATGTGTAGCAACACTTCAGCACCCATAGTTCCATAATAAATAGAAGTAGCACCAGAAAAAAGTAGTATTTCATGCACATAGCTGTTATGAGCAATAAAAATGCACATACCATGCCTGCCAACTGTTCAACATCCATGAAGAATGCCAAGATTCCAGCAAGTAAACCAGTAATTACAGTGCTCTTCACAGGAACTTGTGTGTGTTTATTGACATCGGAAAAAAATGACGGCAGCAATCCATCTCTAGCCATTGCCATAAGTATTCGAGGCTGAGTTACATATAAGATAAAGAAAATTTTAATACGTGTTTCACATGTGTCAGTCATAAAGGAAGACTCCACAAGGTGGAGATGGAAAAGGAAGAAGAAGACATTTTGATCTGATAAAAGTAACTTATTTTTCATACTCTAGTATTAAGCCCCTGTTTGAAGCCACTATTTATTTTTTATTTTTTTTTTGGTGAAACAAGGTTTTCTACAGTAACACATGCATTAAAAATTGTGTGCCTTTGAAAAGCAACTGACAGAACTAAGTTTGTCATGGGAAATTTACTTATTTGCCCTTCAATCTTTCTACCAATTTCAGTTGGTATAAATTTTAATACGTGTTTCACATGTGTCAGTCATAAAGGAAGACTCCACAAGGTGGAGATGGAAAAGGAAGAAGAAGACATTTTTGATCTGATAAAAGTAACTTATTTTTCATACTCTAGTATTAAGCCCCTGTTTGAAGCCACTATTTATTTTTTATTTTTTTTATTTTTTTTTTGGTGAAACAAGGTTTTCTACAGTAACACATGCATTAAAAATTGTGTGCCTTTGAAAAGCAACTGACAGAACTAAGTTTGTCATGGGAAATTTACTTATTTGCCCTTCAATCTTTCTCCCAATTTCAGTTGGTAAGGGCAAAATTGGAAAGATACATATCATAAAATTATCAAACAATTGTTTCTTGCTGACATGAATAAATTGATGATGTAGATGTGGACCCCATTATACTGATAAATTGGGTGAATTTAAGGGCGTCAAATAGACACTAAGTATCAACAACTCTTTTTACTTTTTAAGACTATTCTAGAAGTTAGATTTAGTGATTTTGCAGGCAGGAGTAAGACATGAATGGGAAATGCAGTTGACATCCTTTTACTCACTAGGAGCATCAATCTGAACGTATGGGAAACCATTTATGGTCCTATCTAAAATAGTTCATTACCTGTGGTAGGATAGAACCCATCAATGTCGAGCAAAGAGCAGTAGAAGCTCCAAGAGTTATTATGTACCTGAGTTGAAAAGTATATGCGCACAATTAGTGCATAGACACATATCACAAAAAATGATTCAAGTCAGAGGAAATCTCAATAAAGTCAATTATGAAACTGGGCATTTACTTACGCAGCCCACTTCATTCCGTGGCTAGCAAATGCAGATGAGATGGGAGTGTCAGGATCCATCGCATAATATGGCACCAAACCAACGATTATGGCAGAGACCAGCATATACAACGTGCAACATATAGATAGTGCAATACCAATACCCATTGGCAAATCTCGTTGCGGATTTTTTACCTGTCAGATGGGGATGTTCAAGGTTCAAAATCTCATAACATGCTAGGTTAAGCTTAAAAAGTTATCTTGTAACTTTATGCATTATTATTTCAATAAATAATTTTTTATCGGTCAAAGTTGGAGATAAGTAAATTACAATTTTCTTATAAGGTGAGAGCTACTTTCGAAGTAAGTAACTGTTTTTACTCATAAGAAAGAAAAGAAGTAATTTTTTTTTTTTTTTTCCTTTTTTTAACTCTGGGCCAAGCATGCTTTAGCCATTACCATACATCTCTAAAAACTGAAAAGAATTTGGAGGACAGTGGCACAAACCTCTTCTGCAGTACTAGCAACTGAATCAAAGCCAATGTATGCAAAGAAAACAGTCGATGCCCCAGCAAGCATGCCATCAGCCCCAAATGGAAAATACCTAAACGTGGAAAATAGTCTCTTTGAATGAGTAACTTCTCATGCTAACAAGCATATATAAATTGATGAGAAGGATGCTGAAGCAAGTAAAATGCAAATGTCTAAGATGTATAAACCATGATTACCCAACAGAAAGTTCATAGCCGGGCCATCCAGTCTTGAAACCCAAATATCCACCAGCTATGATGACAAAGATCATGGCACAAGTATTAGCTGCTGTTACAATTCCTTGAACAAATGTACTCTGTAAAACACATGTTTCGAGATTTACAGGATAAGACAGAGTCAGAGAGGGAACATTTTTTTTATTTTTTTTTTTTCCAATGAAACAAATATGTTGAGAAAAGATACCTCCTTGATTCCAACACACAAAAGCCCAGTGACTACAAACACCAAGATAGCTGCACATGGGTCCACCACAATATCAAGCCCTGGGATGGTCTGACGAGCTAGAAAAGAAGGGAGACTATCTGGACCTCCAAAGAGTAAGGCCTGATGGAAGGCAGAGAAAAGCAAATTTTAGCTTATTGGTGTCCTTGAAAATAAAAGATGAATCCTCAAACACACATATAGAGACCTACTAAAACAGCTAAATATAAGAAAAATGTACAGCACCAAATTTGGAGATATGCCACGAGCAACCGCAGACCCCCCAATAGTGTATTCCAGGATTAACGCCCAACCAATTAACCAAGCAACACTGCATGCAATCCAAGGAATTGAAGTCAAATACCAAACAATATCTGAAAACTTAATGAAAACAATCAAGTAATGATATTTAGCAGCAAACTGAAAGCTCGGTTTTGTGACATGGCAATAACAGTTCCTCTTATTCCTCCAGAGCCATACTTCTGTATGAGCAAAGAAACATTAAGGCTAGGTTTGTACGCCCCGAATTTGGTGCTTGCAATTAGCTTTTAAAAGAGTTATAATTAAGTCAAAAAATGGTTTTCCAAATTTCTAATTTTGATGATTTATCCCACAAGACTAACACACGCTAAGTTTATTTCCACAATGCTATAGATCCTACTTCGCACAATCTTCATGTCATCAAGCTGGTGGCCCTCTTGAGATGTAAAAGATGGCATATTATACAATACAATATCTCCCCACGACAAGATGGAATTTAGATATTACCCTTCTCCAACGCAAATGTAAGAATAGTGATAGGCACTCCCAGCAGATGGGCAACGACTCGCTAGCTCGGCATAGCAGAAGGCAGAAAGAGCAGCTGCGATACCAGCTATTAGAAAGGAAAAGGTAAGGGCTGGCCCTGAATGCTCCCTTGCAACTGTGCCAACAAGAATATAAACTCCAGCACCAATCGTTGAACCAACCCCTACAAAATGTAGCAAAAGTACATGAAACCAGAGATTGAGACGTTCATATCTATATTAAGATCACAACTTTGAAATTGAGGGTGTATGTATATCTCATTCACAAGTTTAACCCCCAAATATTTAAATATGTGCAAGAAAATCTTGGGCAGAGATCCTGGTATGGTGGTGGGCTGCTGCAATCCCAAAGGCAGAGAACGATAGAATCTTGGTGGGATTGGAGCCTTTGGGTGGTGGACTTGGAGGTGGGCTGCGATGGAGATTCAGCTGGGATTATCTGGAGAAAAAGACAACGGTGAAAATTCTTTGGTTTTCAATTTTTCTTGCTACCAATAAGAATAAGGCAGCGTTCGACTGATTCAATGGATCATTTACTGATCATCAATTATCAATTAGTCTGCATCGCGCGGAAGCGTGTGCCACTACTGGCTTCCTATAATTGTTATTGCCACTTGATTTTGGAATTAATTGGTCCAATCATCATTGAATTTAGGTCCATATTATTTATTGATTACTAAAGTTTAAAATTTTGTGTTTTGGTCACTAAATTTAAATCTATATCTTTTATTGCTCACTAAATTTTAAAATATAGAGTTTTGACCACTAAACTTTGAAAAATATTATACGTTACTCACTAATATAAATGTTGAATTTTGAAAAATGTCGAGTTACATAGAGTTTTGGCCACTAAATTTTAGAAAATGTTGTACATTACTCATTGAGTAATTCGACATTTTTCAAAATTTAACATTTATATTAGTGAGTAAACTACAATATTTTTCAAAGTTCAGTAGCCAAAACTCGACATTTTAAATTTCGGTGATCAATTAAAGACATGGACCCTATACAAGCACGAATAACACATAAATGGATGTTTTTTTTTATTTTTTTATATGATAAATGTTAATACTATTTTTTAGCCAACCAATGATGATGATGATAATGGCCTTTGAATGTGATTCCATTGCTTCCTTCTTAAGCCATTTTCATCCAATCATCATCCTTCTTCAGCTTTACCTAACTGTAAATTGCTTGGCAACAATATTCTAGTGATTTTAACCTTATATTCTTTGCTGTGTGCTCTCACTTTCAGCTTCCCCTTTATACCATAAAGGTGAAAATATCAGAAATTTCCTATTTTTTGGTGGTACAATAATAATACTCCGTTAACTTATCATGAAATAGGTATTTATTCAGTTGATTGGCGGCATCCTATATATTTAAATTATTAAAAATAATTTATTAATTTAAATTTAAAATTCAACCAAAAAAAAAAAAAAAGAAAAATTAACCTCCACCAATAGACATGTTAAAAGTCCCAAATCGTCGTTTAGTTTCAAGGGCAGAGTCAGGATTTTTCTTTAGATAGAGATTTAATTAAGATTTTTCTCTTCTTCCATTTTTTTTGGGGGGGGGGGGGGGGGGGGGGGGGGAGAGGGTGACACAATAGTCATTTAACTTTTAAGAATATTTGTTTAGAGATTGAAATGGCACTGCCAATATAATTAATTTAATTTAATTTAATTTTTTCGCTCACTATAAACTTATTTATTTGTTAATTAATGTGTCATGTCACCTTCATTTATTTTCCTCTTTTTTAATCAGAATACAAGATTATACATTGTTCAATTCTTGGTATATACTTAGATGGTGTTTGGGAGACATTTTTATATAAAAATGTATTTTTAAATAGTAAATTGATAAGAGATATGTGATTGAAAAATAAGGAAAAGTTTTTTATTTACGTGTAATATTATTGTAATAAAGAATAGGGAAATTATCAAAAATGACACTTTTTTGAAAATTGCTATAAAACTTTTGATGTGTACTAAATTTTATAAAAAATGTAACTTTTTTGGTGGAAAATGTCCAAATTACCCTTAATCTCCCCTTTTTAGGAGCATTAAATGCTTATTAATGGTAGCCTCCAATCCAATCAATTGTAATGATTTCATTATTTAATATGTATATTATAATGATTTGGTAAATGTATATTATATTGTATAATATGAATTAACTAAAAAAAAAAAAGAGAAAAGACGTAAAAAAAATTTAAAAGAACCAAAAATAAGATAAAAGAAGCAAAACAATCATAGTTCACATCAAATACATCCCTTCTTGAAAAAAACCCTCCATTTTCTTTCATCTTCTTTATTTCTTCATCAACAATATATTGCTATATCGATTCATCATCCATTTGGAGAGATTAGTTATTACAAATTATTTATATTTTTATGTAATAGCTTATTATTTTTCACATATTAAAAGCAACATGATCATTAAAGTGAAGAAAACATTTAAAACCACTATTAATGATGATGGTATTGTTTTTTCTTTTATTATTTTTTCTTTTTCAAATCATTTTAAAGGGAAAATATACCAAAAATATTTAGGGAAATGTCAACTATTCCACATTTAATGAAGCAGTCATTTGTTTATGGAGATCTGTAGAGCAATGGAATAATTGTTGTAGTTGAGAATTGATTATAACCATTAATATTTCAGAGAAAGTAACAAACAAACTGGCGTTAAACTTGTCGGCGGTCTCGACAGTTTATCTGTTGATCTCGACGGTTATACATGTCGATCTTGACATTTACAAACTGTCGAGATCGACAGATAAACTGTCGGGATAGAGTTTTAAACTGTCTAAGTCGACAGTTGAAAACTGTTGGCACCCTGCATTTCACATTCTCCTATTGCATCGGTTTAAATATTCGAAAGTGCTCCTTCGATGCTATTACATATCGACATATTGACTGTTCATAATTATTATCGTTGTAATCCCTTTATTTTAGGTATGAACACCCATTTGAGATTCATCGTGTCGCACGAGGGAAGGTTTATTCACGCGGACGACGAATGGAAGTGGACAGGGGACAAAACCACATCCATTTTAGTGCCGAGAAATATTACCCTAGCAGGACTTCTGTTATGGTTGAATGAGAAACTTGGCATTATCGATCCGCACACCGAAATGGAATTGAAGTTTAAAGTCCCGAACATGAATATACCACCAGCTAAAATACATGAAGATGAAGACCTCATGTGGTACATATCTGTTCATACGGAAACTGCTTTGTGCGTTAATATTGTGGAGACAAATATGCGAACTGTTGACATAAGGAGGGATACGAATTTGCGTGACCATTTGTTTGCCGCAACAGATGTTCACCAGAACTTAGAACACGATGACATGAATCATGAGCCTAGTTCCCCAATGAATAATGCAGTCGAAACGGGGAATTTTGATGATGGGGCTGCACCTGTAGACGATATGTTGGACGACCCATTCAATGGTACAGATGCTGCTAGTATTGCAGACGTTGACTCCCCAATGTCATCACAACTTATTTGTTTGGGTACAGACCAATGGATTACAGCTGTGGGTACATCCGATCTTGTTGAACGGCAAATATTCTTGAGCAAGAAAGAGCAGTACTCGAAAATTCGTGTACTTGCTTTGCAAGACAAGTTTGAATTTCATGTAAGCAGGTCAAGCCGCAAAATGTTAACCGTTGCATGCGTGGACCGTAATTGCAAGTGGACGTTACGTGCTTCGAGTGTGAAACGGACTTCTATATTCATGATCCGAAAATTCAACCATGTGCACACATATTCGGTAGATATCCGTCGTAACGCACATCGACATGCCACTACTTCTGTAATTGCAGAGCACATTTTGAGAAAATTGGATAATCCATACCGGTTGTACGATCCTACCGCTATTGCACGTGACATAGAACGCGAGTTTGGTGTCAAAATAAGTTACCAAAAAGCACATAGGGCGAAAGTTGCTGCTTTACATATGTTACATGGTACACCGGGGGATAATTTTCAAAAATTACCTTCCTATTGTCACGTTCTAGGAGAGCGTAACCCAGGGACAGTAACCCACATCGAAGTTGATTCCCATAATAGGTTTCATTACTTCTTCCTAGCTTTTGGTGCAAGCGTTCGTGGCTACATGCGCTACTTGAGGCCCGTTATTTGTGTTGACGGTAGTCACTTGAAAGGTCTATACAAAGGTACACTTTTGCTGGCAACCGGCCAAGATGCCAACAAATAGATATATCCCTTGGCACGGGGGATCGTTGATGCTGAAACAAATAGATCGTGTATGTGGTTTATGTCCAACTTGAAAGAGCTTATAGGCGACTCTGCTGAATTGGTTTTTGTTTCCGACCGGAAGAATAGCATTTCCAATGCCATTGCTCGCCTATTTCCTCAGTCTCGTCATGGGTACTATATCTGGTATCTAGAAAAGAACTTAGTCTAGCGGTACAACAACGCAAGTGTAATATTTCTATTCAAATGAGCTGCACGAACTTCTCGGGTCGAAGAGTTTGAAAGACTTATGGGACAGATCCGTAGGGTAAGTGCAAGAGTGTACAGGTACTTAGAGCGAGCAGGTTTCTCGTTTTGGTCACGAGCACTGTTTGTTGATCAAAGGTACAACATTTTGACAAATAACAATGTCGAATCTTTGAACTCAATGTTGAGACATGCCTGTTCATTACCGATCACGTGCTTGGTCGAACACATTCGACAAACTATGTAGAAGTGGTTTCACGAACGCCGAACCAGTGCAACCACATGTACTGGCATGCTGTCGTTGAGGATGGAGAACGAGTTGCGGACAACGTTTGAAGTAGGTACAAGGCTTCGAGCTCATGGCTTGACAGAACAGTTAACACAAGTTGGAATGTCCAACGACACGGACATCGTCGACTTCTCTGATAACAGCTGCACTTGTCGTGAGTTTCAAATTAATCGTATGCCATGCGTTCATGCCACTCGAGCTGCTTGCTTGCGAGGTATGTCATTGTACGACTTATGCTCACCGTATTACACATCGGAATACTGGAGAGGTGCCTATAGCGAAACTATATATCCTGTTATGCGTGAAGTGGATTGGATAGTGCCAAACGAAATTACAGGTACTCCTATTAGGCCATCCAATGTACGTCGTCCTCCAGGTAGACCACCCACAAGACGTCAGCGATCCAGATTCGAGTCCGCCACACGACTGAGGAAATGCACTCATTGTGGTGGACTAGGTCATAATCGGAGCACATGTTCCAACCCCATTAGACCACCGACCGTTTAAATAGGCGTTTGTAATAAATAGGTTTTTGTTCGAAAGTGGTTGAAGTTGTATGTGAACTGGCACCCCCATGTCGTTTGTAATGAAAGAATGTAAATGTTCTCATTTTTTTATCATTGTCGTTTGTTTGCTGACATTAGTGTTTCTCATGATCGCAACTAGTTAGAAGATATTGTAATTGATATCCCTTCATAACATCTCGACAGTTAAACTGTCAGTCTCGACAGATGGTTACAGAGTATATAATCTGACTTGTCCGAAATATTTATGCCTGCATGACTACACTGTTACCCATTCAAGTCTCTACTTACACAGATATTTTGAATCATAACATTTCTTTTACATTCCATTATCGTTTCTTAACAGCAAACATCGTCTTCTAATTTAACAACAAACAAAAACGATATGTTTCAAGGACGATTTAGGGCTGACCTGATTAGTAATTTTTCCATACGGACTTATTCATAAGACACCACGTACGTATAGACACCTAACTCCACCTACAAGGAATTTTAAAAATAACTTATTTTTCGATGTTTCCAAGTTCATGTGTTAAGCCCGAACCAAGAAATCCCGACGAACCTACATTGTTAATACAGTGAACTTGTTCATTCCAGGGTACGTCAATTTTTAGTAAACAAGGGATCCATACAGGGAAACATAAGTTTCATACTTACACAAATGAACATATGTTCTTACATCCCGACAGTTAATCTGTCGTTCCCGACAGTATACATGCCGTTCCCGACAGATTGTTTCTGTCCTCGTCCATAGTAGGTCCAATACCAAAATCTAACAAAATATAAAGAAAACGGTACGTAGACAATGGAGGTGCTCTTGCTCACCATTGCAGAACTATGTTACCAGATCCATCCCTGACAAAATACGAACTATACATTATTTCATACGCTCCACATACCCATATTCGCCACCTCATTGATTGTCCATACTCGAACCATCTTCTTCGGAGTCATCGGAGCTGATCACAATGATCTCGGGAGATGGAACATGAGCCAACCACGCGTCATCATCAAACTCAACTTCCACCGGAACAATCAATGGGACGACCCAATCAAGCACGGTCTTTGGACTCTGGGAAGCTTCACATGCAACATCGTCGAGGTTCGGAAAAGGAACAACGGATGTGGCTCTCGTACCACGTTCATAACTCACTTCGTCATCGTCTGAAGCAATGACGATAGGACATAGTGGGGACGAACCGGGTGTTGGTAGCGGCTCCTCATGCTTGAACGATTCATTGCTCCCTGTCGACAACGCCATTGTTCTGATATGAAAATATTTATTGAACATGTTGAGGAGTAAACGTAGAGACTGCAACATGAATTTTCAAATGTGAATATTAAAGGTGTCAATGATAATGTGGACTTACCATGCTAAATATAGTAGATTTTTTGGAGAGATGCACTGAAGCTCATTTACTGCCCCAACCACCAACCCCCATACAATTAAAATTTGATAGAAAACTATGTGATGGATGATAGTCTAATCATACTTAAATCCCTAGTATATGTCCTGAAATGGTGGCTGGGGTTGGAAGATTAGTACCAATGTGAGTTATGACTATTGAATTATTTTGGCAATGACTAAAAATGAGCTAAGCATGGTTTTCAATTCCATTTTCAGTTTTTGAATGTGGCGCTCCTTCCAGAAATTGAGAAAAAAAAATTTCAACGTAATAGCTATGTGCAAGATTTTTTCCATGTTGCTGCATGTGTTATAACATTACATGAAAGACAACTTAAATGAATTTTGCTATGCTGGTACTTATTTTTTACTCAGTTCAAAAACGAGAATCGTAATGTATTCACGAGATTTTGAAATTACTGTCTTTTAGATGACGAATCGAACTACACTGCATACTCTCGAGTTAATGGAAATTTCGAAATACATAATTTGTAGTCACACACGCATGCATAAAGAGCAACAAATGGCAACTTTGTACAAATACTTCTGATATAACACATTCAAACATAATGTACAAAAATCTAGGATCATCCATGTGCGACTGCATACCGAGT